ACAGAGAGTGAAGGAGGGGACATTTTGAGTCGACTCAAAAGTCACAGAGAGTGAAGGAGGGGACATTTTGAGTCGACTCAAAAGTCACAGAGAGTGAAGGAGGGGACATTTTGAGTCGACTCAAAAGTCACAGAGAGTGAAGGAGGGGACATTTTGAGTCGACTCAAAAGTCACAGAGAGTGAAGGAGGGGACATTTTGAGTCGACTCAAAAGTCACAGAGAGTGAAGGAGGGGACATTTTGAGTCGACTCAAAAGTCACAGAGAGTGAAGGAGGGGACATTTTGAGTCGACTCAAAAGTCACAGAGAGTGAAGGAGGGGACATTTTGAGTCGACTCAAAAGTCACAGAGAGTGAAGGAGGGGACATTTTGAGTCGACTCAAAAGTCACAGAGAGTGAAGGAGGGGACATTTTGAGTCGACTCAAAAGTCACAGAGAGTGAAGGAGGGGACATTTTGAGTCGACTCAAAAGTCACAGAGAGTGAAGGAGGGGACATTTTGAGTCGACTCAAAAGTCACAGAGAGTGAAGGAGGGGACATTTTGAGTCGACTCAAAAGTCACAGAGAGTGAAGGAGGGGACATTTTGAGTCGACTCAAAAGTCACAGAGAGTGAAGGAGGGGACATTTTGAGTCGACTCAAAAGTCACAGAGAGTGAAGGAGGGGACATTTTGAGTCGACTCAAAAGTCACAGAGAGTGAAGGAGGGGACATTTTGAGTCGACTCAAAAGTCACAGAGAGTGAAGGAGGGGACATTTTGAGTCGACTCAAAAGTCACAGAGAGTGAAGGAGGGGACATTTTGAGTCGACTCAAAAGTCACAGAGAGTGAAGGAGGGGACATTTTGAGTCGACTCAAAAGTCACAGAGAGTGAAGGAGGGGACATTTTGAGTCGACTCAAAAGTCACAGAGAGTGAAGGAGGGGACATTTTGAGTCGACTCAAAAGTCACAGAGAGTGAAGGAGGGGACATTTTGAGTCGACTCAAAAGTCACAGAGAGTGAAGGAGGGGACATTTTGAGTCGACTCAAAAGTCACAGAGAGTGAAGGAGGGGACATTTTGAGTCGACTCAAAAGTCACAGAGAGTGAAGGAGGGGACATTTTGAGTCGACTCAAAAGTCACAGAGAGTGAAGGAGGGGACATTTTGAGTCGACTCAAAAGTCACAGAGAGTGAAGGAGGGGACATTTTGAGTCGACTCAAAAGTCACAGAGAGTGAAGGAGGGGACATTTTGAGTCGACTCAAAAGTCACAGAGAGTGAAGGAGGGGACATTTTGAGTCGACTCAAAAGTCACAGAGAGTGAAGGAGGGGACATTTTGAGTCGACTCAAAAGTCACAGAGAGTGAAGGAGGGGACATTTTGAGTCGACTCAAAAGTCACAGAGAGTGAAGGAGGGGACATTTTGAGTCGACTCAAAAGTCACAGAGAGTGAAGGAGGGGACATTTTGAGTCGACTCAAAAGTCACAGAGAGTGAAGGAGGGGACATTTTGAGTCGACTCAAAAGTCACAGAGAGTGAAGGAGGGGACATTTTGAGTCGACTCAAAAGTCACAGAGAGTGAAGGAGGGGACATTTTGAGTCGACTCAAAAGTCACAGAGAGTGAAGGAGGGGACATTTTGAGTCGACTCAAAAGTCACAGAGAGTGAAGGAGGGGACATTTTGAGTCGACTCAAAAGTCACAGAGAGTGAAGGAGGGGACATTTTGAGTCGACTCAAAAGTCACAGAGAGTGAAGGAGGGGACATTTTGAGTCGACTCAAAAAGTCACAGAGAGTGAAGGAGGGGACATTTTGAGTCGACTCAAAAGTCACAGAGAGTGAAGGAGGGGACATTTTGAGTCGACTCAAAAGTCACAGAGAGTGAAGGAGGGGACATTTTGAGTCGACTCAAAAGTCACAGAGAGTGAAGGAGGGGACATTTTGAGTCGACTCAAAAGTCACAGAGAGTGAAGGAGGGGACATTTTGAGTCGACTCAAAAGTCACAGAGAGTGAAGGAGGGGACATTTTGAGTCGACTCAAAAGTCACAGAGAGTGAAGGAGGGGACATTTTGAGTCGACTCAAAAGTCACAGAGAGTGAAGGAGGGGACATTTTGAGTCGACTCAAAAGTCACAGAGAGTGAAGGAGGGGACATTTTGAGTCGACTCAAAAGTCACAGAGAGTGAAGGAGGGGACATTTTGAGTCGACTCAAAAGTCACAGAGAGTGAAGGAGGGGACATTTTGAGTCGACTCAAAAGTCACAGAGAGTGAAGGAGGGGACATTTTGAGTCGACTCAAAAGTCACAGAGAGTGAAGGAGGGGACATTTTGAGTCGACTCAAAAGTCACAGAGAGTGAAGGAGGGGACATTTTGAGTCGACTCAAAAGTCACAGAGAGTGAAGGAGGGGACATTTTGAGTCGACTCAAAAGTCACAGAGAGTGAAGGAGGGGACATTTTGAGTCGACTCAAAAGTCACAGAGAGTGAAGGAGGGGACATTTTGAGTCGACTCAAAAGTCACAGAGAGTGAAGGAGGGGACATTTTGAGTCGACTCAAAAGTCACAGAGAGTGAAGGAGGGGACATTTTGAGTCGACTCAAAAGTCACAGAGAGTGAAGGAGGGGACATTTTGAGTCGACTCAAAAGTCACAGAGAGTGAAGGAGGGGACATTTTGAGTCGACTCAAAAGTCACAGAGAGTGAAGGAGGGGACATTTTGAGTCGACTCAAAAGTCACAGAGAGTGAAGGAGGGGACATTTTGAGTCGACTCAAAAGTCACAGAGAGTGAAGGAGGGGACATTTTGAGTCGACTCAAAAGTCACAGAGAGTGAAGGAGGGGACATTTTGAGTCGACTCAAAAGTCACAGAGAGTGAAGGAGGGGACATTTTGAGTCGACTCAAAAGTCACAGAGAGTGAAGGAGGGGACATTTTGAGTCGACTCAAAAGTCACAGAGAGTGAAGGAGGGGACATTTTGAGTCGACTCAAAAGTCACAGAGAGTGAAGGAGGGGACATTTTGAGTCGACTCAAAAGTCACAGAGAGTGAAGGAGGGGACATTTTGAGTCGACTCAAAAGTCACAGAGAGTGAAGGAGGGGACATTTTGAGTCGACTCAAAAGTCACAGAGAGTGAAGGAGGGGACATTTTGAGTCGACTCAAAAGTCACAGAGAGTGAAGGAGGGGACATTTTGAGTCGACTCAAAAGTCACAGAGAGTGAAGGAGGGGACATTTTGAGTCGACTCAAAAGTCACAGAGAGTGAAGGAGGGGACATTTTGAGTCGACTCAAAAGTCACAGAGAGTGAAGGAGGGGACATTTTGAGTCGACTCAAAAGTCACAGAGAGTGAAGGAGGGGACATTTTGAGTCGACTCAAAAGTCACAGAGAGTGAAGGAGGGGACATTTTGAGTCGACTCAAAAGTCACAGAGAGTGAAGGAGGGGACATTTTGAGTCGACTCAAAAGTCACAGAGAGTGAAGGAGGGGACATTTTGAGTCGACTCAAAAGTCACAGAGAGTGAAGGAGGGGACATTTTGAGTCGACTCAAAAGTCACAGAGAGTGAAGGAGGGGACATTTTGAGTCGACTCAAAAGTCACAGAGAGTGAAGGAGGGGACATTTTGAGTCGACTCAAAAGTCACAGAGAGTGAAGGAGGGGACATTTTGAGTCGACTCAAAAGTCACAGAGAGTGAAGGAGGGGACATTTTGAGTCGACTCAAAAGTCACAGAGAGTGAAGGAGGGGACATTTTGAGTCGACTCAAAAGTCACAGAGTGTGAAGGAGGGGACATTTTGAGTCGACTCAAAAGTCACAGAGAGTGAAGGAGGGGACATTTTGAGTCGACTCAAAAGTCACAGAGAGTGAAGGAGGGGACATTTTGAGTCGACTCATAAGTCACAGAGAGTGAAGGAGGGGACATTTTGAGTCGACTCAAAAGTCACAGAGAGTGAAGGAGGGGACATTTTGAGTCGACTCAAAAGTCACAGAGAGTGAAGGAGGGGACATTTTGAGTCGACTCAAAAGTCACAGAGAGTGAAGGAGGGGACATTTTGAGTCGACTCAAAAGTCACAGAGAGTGAAGGAGGGGACATTTTGAGTCGACTCAAAAGTCACAGAGAGTGAAGGAGGGGACATTTTGAGTCGACTCAAAAGTCACAGAGAGTGAAGGAGGGGACATTTTGAGTCGACTCAAAAGTCACAGAGAGTGAAGGAGGGGACATTTTGAGTCGACTCAAAAGTCACAGAGAGTGAAGGAGAGTAGCATTTTAGTGGGGTCACTTATTCTACCTCCTGCAAACAAATCAAGGTGGCAGTTAGCAGCTCCAAAGACGTTTTTCTTTCTGGAACACTGGATAAAGAAAGTAAAGAACGAAAACACCAGTCTTTATGATAATCAAGCCCTTATACTCACCCCATAGGCCACGTAGGCAGGGGCGGAGGGCACGGCAGCCACGGCATGGATGAGCTTGTTCCAAAACTCGGGATTCAAGTCGCGTGCAAACCCACTCGCTGACATCAGCTTGTATGCTCGCAACGCCCCCTCGTGATCCCCTGCCTGCGGAAGCAACCGAGGAGGGCAATGCACGAGCGTTAAACAGCGGAAACAGGAGGCCTGAATGCGAGGAAGTATACGAGGTGTGTGTGGTGCGAGCGTTTTTGCAGCAGGGATGAGGAATCCACTTGAAAGAGAACCACCAAACGGGTATCAAAGTGTCGCAGAGAGTGAGCATTGCAAAAATTAACGTTAATTGTGCAATGGAAAACAGGGGAAACGGCCGAATACTAAAAAATGGGCTCTGTTTAAATTTGTGCAAAACAGGGGAAAATGCGTAACAGCAAGTGCAAGAACCATCTCCAGAAGTTTTGAGACGCCTAAAAAAAAACAAGGTGGTGGAAGGGATGAAAGGCGAGGGGGGAGGGGGGTGGGGGGGGAGGGGAAAGAGGGGTGGGAGAAAGCACAAACAACACCGGCAATAAAACTGAGGGAGTAAATAACCTGTTTTTGAGGCTCCTCAAGAACAGCACCTGCAGGTTGACTTTGATGAGGATGTTGAAGGTCTCGGCATTGGGTCGGGCAATCTTGTCCGATTCCATCCCTTGGTAGAAACGCCAGGCTAGTTCAATCTGCACGTTAAAAAAAAGAAAGGGGGGGCAAGGAAGAGCAGGGCAAGGTGGGGAAGAGAAGTGTAGAAATGTTTTTTAGCACCACCAACACTGGCTGCCATAGCACTCAGGCCATAACATATTCCCCAAATAGAGGCCCCTACGGGCTTCTGGTTGTATATTTGATTCATTTTGTTATAGCCCCGGGCCTATCCTGTACTTGTTTCTTTTTAGAGTTATGGAAAACATGCAAGTAGTTACAAAATATAATAGGGGTTAGCCCCTGGGGCTAAACATACATCTACCTTCGGACCCCCGGGACTTGAATAAAAAAATGGTGATCGCCCCTTTTGCTTATGTTAAGCCCCGGGGCAAAAAAAAGGGGGGGTGGGGCTACATAGGGGGGAATACGGTACTTTAATTCCCTACCTATGCATGGACACATTCGGATAGAGAGAAAGAAAGCTGGGGTGCGACAGGAAGGAGAGAGGGAGGCGGGAATGCAGAAACGGGGAGGTCGAGGGGGACGACTCACATCCTCCTGTGAACCATTTCTACCCCGGTTAATTAAAATGTGGTAGAGATCAATACTGCTGGAAGAGTAGCTTTCCTCGTCAAGGGAACCATCAACTTCCCGGACGATCTGAGGGATGAGGGGAGGATGCAAAGCTATTATGATAGGGCAAAAATTACAAACGCAAATATGTAGTGTTGACACACAAATAAGGGGTCAGAACACAAATGCCAATGAATATCAAGATACGTACTTCGCTTGAAGCATCAAGACATGCACATTCTTCTCCGTAGCATTCTGGGGCATTGGTGGCCATGCGTACAAAGGTAACCGTGCATCACATACCATGGTAACCGTGTGCACATGGTAACCCTGTTACACAAAAATACTCCACTTTCCCGGGAACGAACCACCTCCCCCCTTCCCCTCAAATCTTGACCCTTGAAGTTCATAAAAATATTGCAGTAACCATGGCGTGCTGTTAGCGCAAGTGCACGATAAGCGATGCGTGCTAGGCTTTCAATCAACTCATGAACGCTTAAAAATCAACTCACAGAAGCTCACACGTTTTGAAATCAACTCGCACACGCTTTGCTATCAACTCAGACAGGCTTTGGTATGAACTCAAACACGCTCTCATCTCAACTCACACATGCTTCGATGTCACCATGTCCCTGCCTTTCAACCATCAGCTCAATGCAATGTCACACGCCCTTGCATGCAGTCCCCACCCCAGTCCCAACCCCTATTGTACCGGCTTGAGAGAACTCATATCCCCAGCGATGCAAGCAGATTTGAACAGAAGCTGAAAAGTGTCGTCGTTAGGCTGCAGACCTTCCTTCCGCATCAGCGCATACAGCTCCAAAGTCGTCTTGTGATCCACGTGGCAAGACAAAGCAAGGAGGGCGTGGAAGGTGGCCAGGTCTGCTAGTACTCCCTGGGCCCTCCTCCTGTGATACTCCTGCACTGCCTTCTGTGTGCTGTAAACGGGCATTCGCATATGTGGAGGAAAGGAGCGTGAAAGAGGGGGGCAGAGAAGGGATGGTCGCTTGAGGAGCCTATCTTTTGTGAATCTCCTGCAGTGCCCTGTTAAGGCTGTGAACTTCCATTTGGGAGTGCGGGGAAAGGGAGCGAGCAAGCGCAGGACAGGGCGGGCTGTTTGAGAAGCCTCAGAAGAATTTTGTGACACTCCTCTAGTTCCTTGTTGAGCCTGCGAGGGTGATTTTGTAATCTTGCAAAAACACCCAGCAACTTCTTAGGGAAAAGGCGGCTGTTTGAGGGGCCTCAGAAGTCTTTTTGTGGAACCCCCGTAGTTCCTTGCTGAGACTGTGAGCTGGCATTTGCATGTGAGGGGGGAGAGGGGCGGGCAGGAGACGGGGGAGGGAGGAAGGAGCAAGGATGATGGAAGAACGAAGAGAGGGACGTGAGTGGAAGGGGATGGGGGGCCAAGAGGTGTCTAAGGGAGGGGGGGAAGGTCACGAATGGAAGGAAGGGGATGGGAGGGCAAGAGATGTCTAGATGGAGGGGGAGGTCTTGATGAGTTGCGCCATCACCCAAGCACTAGGCATGGTTGGAAGGGCAACAAAAAACAAAAGCTGCAGTTGCTGCTGCTGCAGGCTCACTTTTGACAATTCTCGAAAGCAACCAGAAACAAAAGCAGCAGCTGCTGCTGTTGCTGCTGCCAGCTTACCAGACTTGCGGGCTGTCGTCAAGCTCAACAAACTCGGTGAGGGAGAATATCGCTATCAATAAATCCAAGTAGGCCTTAAATGCCAGAAGCTCCTCTTCCGTCACCTGATGGATGCACACCCGGAGGACAAGTATGGGAAGCAGAAATGTGGGAGGCAAACATGTGACGGTCACAGAGGCACAGATACACGAATGAACTGATATGAGTGTGTGCAGTTTTCCTCTCTCAGTTGATGATATGTGTCCTGCTGCTGCGTGCTTGGGTTGCTTCCTCAGCCATGATTCTTAGAGAGCTGCTGCAGTTGCAAGGCATGGGTGGACTCAAGCATGGGTGGACTCAAGCATGGGTGGACTCAAGCATGGGTGGACTCAAGCATGGGTGGACTCAAGCATGGGTGGACTCAAGCATGGGTGGACTCAAGCATGGGTGGACTCAAGCATGGGTGGACTCAAGCATGGGTGGACTCAAGCATGGGTGGACTCAAGCATGGGTGGACTCAAGCATGGGTGGACTCAAGCATGGGTGGACTCAAGCATGGGTGGACTCAAGCATGGGTGGACTCAAGCATGGGTGGACTCAAGCATGGGTGGACTCAAGCATGGGTGGACTCAAGCATGGGTGGACTCAAGCATGGGTGGACTCAAGCATGGGTGGACTCAAGCATGGGTGGACTCAAGCATGGGTGGACTCAAGCATGGGTGGACTCAAGCATGGGTGGACTCAAGCATGGGTGGACTCAAGCATGGGTGGACTCAAGCATGGGTGGACTCAAGCATGGGTGGACTCAAGCATGGGTGGACTCAAGCATGGGTGGACTCAAGCATGGGTGGACTCAAGCATGGGTGGACTCAAGCATGGGTGGACTCAAGCATGGGTGGACTCAAGCATGGGTGGACTCAAGCATGGGTGGACTCAAGCATGGGTGGACTCAAGCATGGGTGGACTCAAGCATGGGTGGACTCAAGCATGGGTGGACTCAAGCATGGGTGGACTCAAGCATGGGTGGACTCAAGCATGGGTGGACTCAAGCATGGGTGGACTCAAGCATGGGTGGACTCAAGCATGGGTGGACTCAAGCATGGGTGGACTCAAGCATGGGTGGACTCAAGCATGGGTGGACTCAAGCATGGGTGGACTCAAGCATGGGTGGACTCAAGCATGGGTGGACTCAAGCATGGGTGGACTCAAGCATGGGTGGACTCAAGCATGGGTGGACTCAAGCAGTGATGTCATATATGAGAGGATACATGAGTGACAGCATCCTCGTTCCTGAGTGCAACCCACAGCACAGCACAGCATGCGACAATGCGTTGCGTGTTCTTTTCTAAGACGTCTCAAACATCGTCTTCTTACAATAGGCAACAGCACATAGCGTGTCCTCCTGCCCATCTACCCTTTTCCCTAACTCCCCCCACTCGCCCCTCTTCCTCCCCCTGGTGTGCTATAACGAAGTTAAGCCAATGAGAACGTAACTAAGCTAGCCTGCTGAAACCAGTTGCATGTGATCAACAGCAAACTGGGTGGAGGAGCTTCACAGCTACTAGTATGCTATACACACAGCTACAAACACACACACACACACACATTACATGCTTTGAGTCGACTCAATTCCGGCACGCAGACGCACAGCACAGCACAGCGCCACTTCACATATGCACAGCACGGCGCATGCACACCTCACTCATTTTTTAAACTTCTCAAAAGTGGAGCGTACCGCACTCACCCGAACCTCCCCCGTCCACACCTTGACCTGGACCATAGAATCCTAAAGCCTTCTCGCTTGCGACGCCCTCCTTCATGCTCACTCGGTATAAAAATTCCATGCCTTCTGAGGCGCCTAAAAAACATCCATGCTCGCTCAGTAAGCTAATTTCATGCCCCGCATCTCACCCAACCTACCTCCTTCCCCCATGTCAACTGCTGCCACCACCTCACTCACCTCGTTCAGGCTTCTATATACTTGTTCCAGTTGTGGATTTGATAGTGATGATGCATCTGTGACACTGGTAGGTTGGTTTGGAACGACAGTTGGGGAAGAAGGGGGGGGGGGGAAGGGGGGGAAAGGTGGGGCGGTGAAGGAGGAGGGAGACAGAGCGCGGAAAATTCAAACGGGTTGGACGAAACGGGCGAAGGATCGATCGAGTGACCATGAGAAACTTCCCATCTCCATGCATTCACTTCACGCAGCAACTGAAGCAGTGTTGGGAACCAGGAGCCAGAAGCAGAAACCGAGTCCATGCTAGCCAGCCCCACAGCCCCCAACCACCCATCTCACATGTTGCCATAAGCGTGGGACGTGTGAGAGTGAGAGTGGTTCGTTTGTGAGCGGGCTGCCAGGGACGCATTCACCCCATCTCTCAGCTTCAAAAAGTCCTCGTACACCTGGTGTGGCAGAGGCGCAGGGAGGAGAGGAGAGGAAAGGCATGGGATGATTTCTTAGCGCCTCACCTCATTGACTCATCACTGGTGGGAGAGAGGGACGCTGGTAGGAGGGGAGGCATGGGACTGGAATGGGATGGATGGAATAGGATGGCATGGGATGAGGTGTTTTACGAGCTCTCAAAACAGGCCTCCTTCCACTGCTCACCTTGCAGCCTCTTCTCCGGTGCACTTTCCTTTCCTTCACTCACTCACTCACTCACTCACTTCTTCTTTGGTCCATTTCCGTCCATCCTCCTCCATTATCTGGGAGACATGGCCGCCACCCATTTGCCATTGTCCACCAAGCCTTGACCCCTCCCCCGTGCCCGTTGGGACTGCCGGCTGCTGCGCTGACGACGACGCAGAAGCGGCGCTGGTTGGTCGGATGAAAGATAGAGGACAGAAAGAAGAACTCAGAGAAGGATGTTTGGAGGGCATGGCCCCCGGAAGAGGGAACTCAACAGTTGAAGTTGGAGTGAAGCTCAAACATATAAATGAGAAACAAGAATTGCAACAAACACTACAGATATGTTCCAAATGAGATAAATTCAGGCGATCGTAGGAAGCAGGACAGGAGGATTTCGACCCAGGAGATGTGCCTTCGTGAGCAAGAATTTGGTGTCATTACCACGGCTTCCGCCTGGTTCAGATTAGTGCCTGCAGGTGTTAGCAACAACGTGTCTCATAGTTTCTATTCTAGCAACTTGATGTGACAGCAGCAGTCGCCGAGCAGACCAAGCGCCGAGGCGGAGATTTGGATCGTCTCAAAACAAATTACTTTCACGCAATCATGTGTCCATTAGTAGCAATCTGACCTGACAACGGCATGGTTAAGGGATCGCCGAGCAGACCAAACGCCGCGGGGAAAGAAACGAGGCTGCTCGACGGGTGATCGCACGGGAAACGGGAAAGGGGGACCACGGGAGATGTGAACAAAATCAAAAAGCGAAGTAAGGCGAAGTGAGGCGTACGGGAAGGTGCGAAGCAAGCGAAGAGGGGTGAGGGGATGGGGAGAGGACCGGGACCAGGTGCAGCGGAAGAAGCAATTCGGTTACATAATTACAAAAAGTTTCTAGATTGTTGGAATCTCCAATGGTACCTGGTTGCTCTGCCTGGACGTCAGGCGGCTCGCGTCACGCGCTGGCGAGACGCGGACACAAGCAGACGACAGATTGCGGAACAACAACGCCGCCATGCCGCTGGAATTGCAGAAAACGGAGGCAGGCTATGCGAAGCAGACTGGAAGGCAGGTCTTAGGAGGAAAATGGCTGCAGAGTTCCACATAAGCGGTAATATACAGAGTGGAAAGCATGTGTTATTCAGGGCCTGTACAGTGAACTCCACCCATGTGAGGGGTGGATTATGAAGTGAATACGGATGAAATCTGCAACCTATATTTTCCCGGTAAAAGCTAAGTGTTCCCTCGTTTGTAAACAAGTGAAGATGAAACACGTCCTGCCTGTTGTTTGTTCGCCGCCTCTTCTCGAAGCTGATAAATTCAGAAGATCTCGAAACTGAACACCTGGATTGGCCAGATGCAGCCACGCATGGCTGCCACAAATCCTCGTCCTCCGTCCCAGTTCATTGGGTGTGTCACATTCCTATTGGTTATCATCGTCGGGAGGAGTTCGCGCCTAGCTATACCCAATCAACAAGCACGAGCCCTGATAGTACAGTCACCAATCACGGAACTGTATCTGCTACTCCTTTGAGTTTGTTCCTGATGCCACGTCATCGGACATTTGATGACTTGAAGGGTGGTTATAACCATTTTCCCTGCCCGCAACGGCCATTCTGAAGACTATTGGAGGAAATGTACCATTTGTTCCGCTGCTGGGTGGCTATACCGGTAGCTGTGTGAGGTGCCATCCAGTGATTTGCTTCTTCGGGAAATACAAGTGATAGGAATCGAGCGTCCCATTCGGATGATGAACTCTCCGATTTTTCCGTATTTCTGGACTCACAGAAAAGGGTACTTTCTATCTCGTTACCAGGCATTAAAAAACGTTTCCGTTTTGTGGCCCCCCTCGTCCTCACTTCCCTCTCACACTCTTCCTGCTCTTGCCCACTCTTCCATCCATCATTCATTCTCTCTGTCCTCTGTTCTCCGTTTCCATTCTGAAAATGACCTAGAGCTCTGGAAGTAGTCATTTTGTTTCTAGAACCACCCCGGAGGCGGACGTGAATGCAGTAATTGGAAGTCTATTAACTTCTCCTTTTTAGACGTGCAGAATCTCTATTGTTTGTTCCGCGAGAGAATTCATCGCCTTATAGCATTTCACGTCCGTGCCTCACAGCAGCGGTAGCCATGGCGCAGGTTCTACAGTTCGGAGCGCTCTCCATCCACAGCGCAAACATCGCGACAAGACCTTTCCACGCCAATTTCGCTAGACCATCTTCGCGAAAGTTCGCACGGCGATGCGTGCGAGTGCAGGCGAAGCAGCAGGACGACCTACCACCGTCGGAGATGACCTACCAGAACGCGCTGGACCTTCTGGGCGTGAGGGAGGGAGCGACGTTCGACGACATCCTGCGAGCGAAGAAGCGAATTACAGATACAGGCACCACCGATCAGGAGCTTCTTCTGAGGGTAAGAACCTCGTCCTTCTGAACAATGCTTCTAGAACGCGTTAATACCTTCGGTAAGCAGCCTCTTTTGCGGGTTGAGGCGACTCGAAATCCATAACGCTGTTTATTCCAAGCGCAAGCACATCAATTAAGAGGCTTCTTTTGCTGGGAGGAATTGCGACGTTTGTTACAATCAGTTGTACAATTTTCAACCGATTAATATTCCCCCTCGTGAGACGGAAATTGAGGTCTTGCGGGACCAGACTGCGGAGAATCTTGTCCAATAGTCTCTGGTGAGACGAACATGTTCTCATAGAGCTAAGGAGCTAAACTATTGGATAGGTAGGACAAACTTGGGAACCGCGGCTTTGATGGTCATCGCACACTATGCCGTTTATTGAACGGATGTTACTACGATCCCAAACGTGGTTATAATATGTGGCAATTCGTGTGGTACCGTAGCTGGAAAGACAACAATTCTCTTCATTGTTGTCGCCCGCGCCGCCTTCCCCTTTCTCTTCCCTCTCCCCCGCAGGTCGAAGCAGCGTACGACATTCTTCTCATGCAGTCCCTCTCCCGCCGCCGCTCCGGCGAGGTGGTCGACAGCAGCGTGCGCTTCGCGGACGTGCAGAAACCCCGCCCTCCCGCGCCGCCCTCCTGGCTCCAAAAGGCCCTCAAATCCTCCCTGGTCGCCGTCACCACGCCCAACACCAGCTCCAGCAGCGGCAGCCAGGCGCTCGCCGTGCAATTCTCATCTCCCTTCACTTCCCTCTCCCGCTTCCCTCTCTTCCTCCCTCTCCCCCCCGCAGGTCGAAGCAGCGTACGACATTCTCCTCATGCAGTCCCTCTCTCGGCGCCGCTCCGGCGAGGTCGTCGACAGCAGCGTGCGCTTCGCGGACGTGCAGAAGCCCCGCCCGCCCGCCCCGCCTTCTTGGCTGCAAAAGGCCCTCAAATCCTCGCCGGTCGCCGTCACCACGCCCAACACCAGCACCAGCAGCGGCAGCCAGGCGCTCGCCGTGCAATCCGCGGTCTTCGCGTCGCTGCTCATCTGGACGTACGCCTCGGGATTGTCGACGGGGTCGGATCTAGGCGGGTCGTTGTACGGGCCGGCAGCGACGGGAGGGGATGTGCCGGGGCTGCAGCTCGCGCTGGCGTTTGGATGGGCGCTGTACTCGCTGCGGAAGGAAGGCGTGGGGATGGGTGAGTGGGGTTGAATAGGTTTGTGGGTGTACGATAAGTGAGAGATGCAATGAGTATGTACGAAGTGGTTTGTGTGTGTGTGGATGATTGTAAAGTGATGTGAAGTGACTGTGTATGGCGAGTTTTGTGTGTGTGTGGAGGGGTGTCAGTGAGTGCCATCTTGTGGCGCCATATTGTCATGCTACATGGGAGTGTGGGAATGATGGGCTGGGTGGATAAGGATGACTGCATGAGTGGGATGTGAGGGCAAACGCCCACGTTCCAACTTTGCCTCTCTTCCCTCCCATGCTCCTCCCATATTCCTCGCTTCCCTACACACCTCTCTCTCCTCCCCTACCCCTCTCTCCTCCCCCACATCTCGCTCCGATCCCATCCCACCTCTCATCCCCACCACTCTCTCCGTTCCCTACATCGTTTATCATTCTGGCCCTACTGTCTCCCGCATCCTTGCTGCCATGGTGCATTTTCGTGCTCGGGACATGTCTTTGTCTCCCAAACGCAGCACCAGGGCTGGCAGCATCAGCAGCAAAGTTATTTCTGGGGGCAGTAGCACCAGGCATGGCTTTTCAGGCCCATTCTATTCTCGAGAAAGACCACTCTTTCTCTCCTCTCGCTCTCATTTTCCCTTCGTTCCACCATTGGCAGGCAAGGCAGCAGGGCTGTCAACAGGGCGCTCGTGCTGGGAGCAGTGGTGGGCAGTCTGGTGCAGGCCTGGTTACGTGTTGACATCTTCTCTCACTTCTAAATTCCCATCTCTTTCCCTCGTTTGTGTTTCTCCTTTTCTCTCTCCCACCATTGGCAGGCAAGGCAGCAGGGCTGTCAACAGGGGGCTCGTGCTGGGAGCAGTGGTGGGCAGTCTTGTGCAGGCCTGGTTACGTGTTGACATCTTCACGCTCCTCGGACTTGTCCCGTAGCCCACTCGTTCTCTCTCTGTGTCTTACCTTTTCCCCCTCACCATCAACAGGCAAGGCAGCAGGGCTGTCAACAGGGGGGCTCGTGCTGGGAGCAGTGGTGGGCAGTCTGGTGCAGGCCTGGTTGCGGGTCGACATCTTTCCCCTGCTCGGCTTCGGCTCCCCCGCCGTCCTCATTAGTGAATTCTCCATTATCAACCTCTGGCTCGCTGCTGTCTTCCTGCGCTGACCTCCTTTCAAGCTAGAATAACTTCCTATTGGCAGCAGCACGGTGCTCTGCTCTCCCTTTGGGCCCTGCCTGCTGACAAGGAGATACAGGAAAAGTGTGGTTGGCCTTATGCCAACCGGTTGGCCTTTAACGGTGTGCATGGGCGAAGCTGGCCTTATGCTAGCGGGTAAGGCAGTTTCTAAGTAGGCGAGTGTAGCCACGTGTGTGTGTGTGTGAGAGAGAGAGAGGGTGTGTTCACTTGGTGTTCCAGTGTGTACAGATATTGCAGGACCGTGCTATGGGAGAGCCCTCCCTTGCAGAACCGTGCTGTGTGTGTTATTATAATGGAAGCTTGCTCTGTCCTGGAGCCATCTTGGTGTGAAATCTCAGAATGTGAACAGCGGAATGGTGTGAGTTACCGGTATCAAGTATGGGATACAACAAGTGTTGTACGGTACATCTTCAATGTGAGTCACCGGGATTCAATAACATCGCATTTCTGTTTTCAGCAAAAGTGGCTGGACGGACTAATTTCTGTTTCCAGCAAAAGGGCCCCGTTACTCTCATCATAGTTTTTTTTTTTTAATATATATAAAGAATACGCCCAGAACCGATCCGGATGAGCACATGGTTTTATAATGAAGGAAATGCATCTATAATCGTTATTAAAGCCAGCAGGCAAAATAGTGACCCCCCCCTTCTAGTTGGGTCCACTTGAAAATGAAGTATTTTTGTTGTGTTTTGGAAAGTTGGAAGTGCTGTGCGAGTGCTTTTTTTTCCGACCTTCAGAAGAGTTTCGTATTGGACCAGGAACGAAAGTTCATTCTCAATTCTGATTGGCAGCCAGGTTCAGGGACATGATGTGCGAATTTGGCGCAAAGTTGAGCGACGAGCACTCCTGCATTCACTAGAGCCACTAGTTCATCAAATTCACAACTAGCAAACATCTCACGCTAAATCCCAAGCAGACACACATGTACGTGATGCGAGTGAAAGTGTTTGAACGTTGTTAGAGCTAGTAGAGCTCTGATCAATGTGCTGCCTTGGACTTGAGGCCTGGGAGAGGTGCAATAACGGGGTACAGAAGAGAAAAACAGCACGGGCGACGGGAAATGGGAGTGCGACGGGAAAGGGGAGGGCGACGGGAAAAGGCGACGGGAAACGGGAGGACGACGGGAAACGGGAGGGCGACGGGAAACGGGAGGGCGACGGGAAACGGCGACGGGAAACGGGAGGACGACGGGAAACGGGAGGGCGACGGGAAACGGGAGGGCGACGGGAGAGAGGATAGGCGACGAGAGAGAGGATAGGCGACGGGAGAGAGGGCGAAAAGAAGGGATGGAAAGACGGGGAAAAAAATCAAACAAACAAACAAAACACAATAACAGAGTACGGAATGGGTCACGATGACGAAAAGGGCGCGGAGAGAGAGAGAGGGCGACGAAAAGGTCGCGGAGAGAGAGAGGGCGACGGGAAGGGAGGGGCGAGAGAGAGGGCGACGGGAAGGGCGCGGAGAGAGAGGGCGACGGGAAGGGAGAGGCGAGAGAGAGGGCGACGAAAAGGGCGCGGAGAGAGAGAGGGCGACGGGAAGGGAGGGGCGAGAGAGAGGGCGACGGGAAGGGAGCGGAGGGAGAGCGCAATGGGAAGGGTGGGGCGAGAGAGAGGGCGACGCGGAGAGAGAGAAGGCGACGGGAAGGGAGGGGCGAGCGAGAGGGCGACGGGAAGGGCGCGGAGAGAGAGAGGGCGACGGGAAGGGAGAGGCGAGAGAGAGGGCGACGAAAAGGGCGCGGAGAGAGAGAGGGCGACGGGAAGGGAGGGGCGTGAGAGAGGGCGACGGGAAGGGAGGGGCGAGAGAGAGGGCGACGCGGAGAGAGAGAAGGCGACGGGAAGGGAGGGGCGAGCGGGAGGGCGACGGGAAGGGCGCGGAGAGAGAGAGGGCGACGGGAAGGGAGAGGCGAGAGAGAGGGCGACGAAAAGGGCGCGGAGAGAGAGAGGGCGACGGGAAGGGAGGGGCGAGAGAGAGGGCGACGGGAAGGGAGCGGAGGGAGAGCGCAATGGGAAGGGAGGGGCGAGAGAGAGGGCGACGCGGAGAGAGAGAAGGCGACGGGAAGGGAGGGGCGAGCGAGAGGGCGACGGGAAGGGCGCGGAGAGAGAGAGGGCGACGGGAAGGGAGGGGCGCGAGAGAGGGCGACGGGAAGGGAGCGGAGAGAGAGAGCGCGATGGGTAGGGAGGGGCGTGAGAGAGGCCGACGGGAGGAGAGGAGGGGAGAGAGGGCGACGTTACGCGCGACGGGACGGGCGACGAGATGGCGACGTGACGCGCGACGGAATGGGAGACGGGAGGGCGATTTGGCGAACTCGAGGACAGCGTGGTGGGCGATGAGAGGGGTGAGAGGAATGGCGACGGGAATGGGGTTCTCTGCGATCGGAGGAAAATATCACTACGCAGCAAGGGCGACGAAGTATCACACACAACCTAATGATAATTTCATATCTATGCCGCATCAGCCTAATCCCTCGTCCCTTGCTATTCTATGCTAGGCAAGCTACGTGAGTTAGGCAAGCTACATGCGTTAGGCAAGCTACGTGAGTGAGTTGTGAACCCAGTTCCAGCTTGAAATCGATGTTGGAGCTGGCGACCAAAACGATCGCTTTGCGCTGTCGTGAGGCTGCCGCACGTAGGAGGCGACAGCTAACATGAGCGCCAAAATTGATTTGGCGGGAGCCTGAAGAAGTATCATTTTGGTGAGAGCCAATCACATCATTTCGATCTGTGTACTTGAAATGTTTGGAACAGTGCTGAACAGTGCAGAGTATAACAATACCACCAGGCTCAGAACAACTTCAGGCATGACAAGAGATAAAATTATTGAAACAATAGCCAAGTTTGTTCACATGTCCATGCACATTCCATTCGTTGCACAACTACCTAACCTTCCAGGTCTGCTTTCACAGCATGCACTAAGCGCATTTTGCTTGTAGGCGCTACAATATCTACAGCCTTACCCCTAAAAAACTCGGGACTGTCACCAAACAACCTCACCCCTCGGATGCTGCCATCCATGCTGAAATATCATTTGGCAAAGAGTGGGATGGGAGTTGAGAGATCCTGGATGGAAAGGCAGAGCCTTCGGCCTATGTAGACAGAATCGAAGCAGACGAAGCGGCAGGAGTTTCACAAACAAACGAAGAACTATAAGGTAGCCTTGCGATACCCTGCCTCAACCTGCCTCACCCGTCCGCACCGTAACATACCGTACATAACTCCTCACCAAAGTCCCTGCAACCAACCTTGAGAGAGAGAACGTAAGAAAGTTTGTATTACCCTTCAACCTCCCGACCCCACACCCCCACCCTCCCCAAAGAAAAATGATTTGTGCTCTCTCATAGATGCCCGCTTATAGGTTGCGGTCCCGCCAGTCTTTGATCATGGCGCGCACGGCATGGTTGGGCACGAGGTCCTTGGAGGGCAGCTGCTCGTTGGTCATGGGCGAGCGGTCGCTGCTCTCCAGCCACGACTCTATCGCCTCCTTCTCGTACGTGTGCCCGTCCGCTGCCAGCACTGGGGTCACCATCATCTCCTGTGCGGTTGAGAGGGGTGAGAGGGGGTGGAAGAGGGCGAAAAGGTGGGGAAGAAGGTGAGAGGGTGGGGAAGAAGGTGAGAGGGTGGGGAAGAAGGTGAGAGGGTGGGGAGGGGCCTAGCAGGGAGGTTGGAGGGGGAGAGAAGTGGGTGATAGGTTGCAGTGGCGCCAGTCTTTGATCATGGCGCGCACGGCATGGTTGGGCACGAGGTCCTTGGAGGGCAGCTGCTCGTTGGTCATGGGCGAGCGGTCGCTGCTCTCCAGCCACGACTCTATCGCCTCCTTCTCGTACGTGTGCCCGTCCGCTGCCAGCACTGGGGTCACCATCATCTCCTGTGCGGTTGAGAGCGGTGAAAAGGGGTGGAAGAGGGGGAGAGGGCGGGGAAGATGGTGGGGAAGAGGGTGAGAGGGTGGGGAGGGGCCTAGCAGGGATGTTGAAGGGGGAGAGAAGTGGGTGATAGGTTGCTGCGATCCCGCCAGTCCTTGATCATGGCGCGCACGGCATGGTTGGGCACGAGGTCCTTGGAGGGCAGCTGCTCGTTGGTCATGGGCGAGCGGTCGCTGCTCTCCAGCCACGACTCTATCGCCTCCTTCTCGTACGTGTGCCCGTCCGTTGCCAGCACCGGGGTCACCATCATCTCCTGTGCGTGGGGAAGGGTGGAGGAAAGGGCGTAGCAGAGAGGTTGAAAGCACATGAAGGCTTATCCTACGTGTACCCGTCCCGCCAGCACCGGGCTCACCATCATCTCCTGTGCGTGGGGGGCCAGGTGGGGGTTGGGAGGATATGAGAAGCAGTGGGTGAGAGAGTGGACACGGGATTGTTAGTGACTTTTCGTAGGTGTGCCCGTTCGCCGCCAGAACCAAATTCACCATCCTGTGCAAGAAAGAAATGAGTTTTTTTTTGGGGGGGGGAGTGGGAAGGGGGATTCTGGTTGAGCCCAGGAGAAAACTCGGCCCCTTATCCACGCCGTAAGCATGAAGGGATGTGGTGGTGGGTGAGGGTTCATAAAAGCATGAAGGCTTCTCGTGCGTGTGCCCGTCCGCAGCAGGCGTTGGTTCCACCAATCATTTCCTGTGAATGAGCTCGGGAGGGGTTGAATTGGAATGCTGACCACTTCAGCAGCCCTTTCTTCTACTCCAACAGGCTTCTTTCATTGACTCGGCTCATCAACAGACACAAACTAACACAAACACAAGAGCACAGGCTCATGGATGGGGGGGAGCGGGGAAGGGAGGGGGAGGGGAAGGGGAGGGAGGGGAGAGTGGAAGAGGGGTCACAAGGAAAGCAAATCAAAGCTTGCCTGAGTGATGGGGCAGAACAGGCTGCTGGGCGCATCACCGATCGACCGCTTCGCCGGCGTTCTCCTCGCCTTCTCCTCCGCCTGAACCGCTCTCGACCGCGCCCGATCCAGCACCGGCATCACATGCGTTTCCAGATCCGCTCAAACCACACAGAGAGAAGGGGAAAAGGGGCCACAATCACAAGGAAACCCGTGCTTGCCTGAGTGATGGGGCAGAAGAGGCTGCTGGGCGCATCACCAATCGATCGCTTCGCCGGCGTTCTCCTCGCCTCCTCCTCCGCCTGAACCGCTCTCGCCCGCGCCTTATCCAGCACGGGCATCACATGCGTCTCCAGATCTGGCCGCTTCTTCCGCCTCATCTCCGAACACTTCACCGCGATTTTCGCAACCTCCATGACTATATCCAGCGGCCACTTCCCTGCGCGCTCATCTAGAAACTCTCTCATCGCCTCCTCGTCCCCGTCGTCCACGGCTTCTTCTAGCCCTTCGTATACGTTGGGTTTGCGCCCGGTGAGGAGATCGAGGAGCACGATTCCGAGCGCGTACACGTCGGATTTCGGGCCGAATTCCCCCGTGCGTTGGAACTCCGGGTCGACATACGCGAAGGTGCCGACCGGGACCGATTCCCGCATGTAGGTCTGATCCATGGAGAGCCCGGGCATGAGCTTCGCGAGCCCGACGTCTCCGAGCTTCGCGACGAAATTCTTATCCAGGAGGATGTTCCCGGGCTTTAAGTCGCGGTGCACGATGGGCACGGGGCGCGTGTGCAGGATGAGGAGCGCGGAGGCGATTTCGGCGGCGACGCGCATGCGGATGTACCAGGGGAGAGGGGGGGAGTTGTTGGCGCAGAGCAGGCGGTCCTCTAGAGAGCCGTTGGCCATGAACTCGTAGACGAGGCAGTACCTGTCGGGACAGCAGCCAAGGAGCATCACCACGTGCGGGTGCTGAATCTGACTCAGCACCTCCACCTGGTGAGGGGGGGAGGTGGGCGGAGGAGGGGGGGAGAAGGCGGAAGGGAGGCGGAGGGGCGAAAAAACGAAGGGAGAAAAGGAGGACGGGGGACGGGGGGGTTAGCGAGGCGATTTCGGCGGCGACGCGCATGCGGATGTACCAGGGGAGAGGCGGGGAGTTGTTGGCGCAGAGGAGGCGGTCTTCTAGAGAGCCGTTGGCCATGAACTCGTAGACGAGGCAGTACCTGTCGGGACAGCAGCCAAGGAGCATCACCACGTGCGGGTGCTGAATCTGACTCAGCACCTCCACCTGGTGGGGGTGTGGGGTGGGGAGGGGGGGAGAGGGGAGAGGGGAGAGGGGAGAGGGGAGAGGGGAGAGGGGAGAGGGGAGAGGGGAGAGGGGAGAGGGGAGAGGGGAGAGGGGAGAGGGGAGAGGGGAGAGGGGAGACGGAGAGGAAACGGGCAGGGGGAAAGGAAAGGGGGAGGTTGGAGGGGGGGAGGGGGGGTGCTGGATCTGACTCAGAACCTCCACCTGGTGGGGGTGGGGGGGGGGGGGGGGGGGAGAAGGAGAGAAACGAGGAGCATGGAAGTACAAAGGGTGAGGGGGCGGGGGGGAGAGGGGTGATGATGGGGGAGAAGAGGAAGAGGGTGCTGGATCTGACTCAGCTCCTCAACCATCTAGCACTACCCAAGGTACACGCTGCGTGTGGTGCAGCGTGCTACACCGTCCCAGCCCCTGCCCGCATCGCCCACTGACCATATCATCACCGGTCTCGCACCAAACCCCTCTGCACTGTCTCACCTCTTGTTGGAACTCGTGCGCGGCCTGCATGGCGTCCGTGTTCTTGAGCACCTTCACTGCCACCGGCGTGTGGTGCAGCGTGCCGGAGAACACCGTCCCAAACCCGCCCTCGCCCAGCTTGCGATCCGGCTTGAAGTTCTCTGTCGCAAACTGCCATGCCATACCACGGGCCCATGGGGGAGGAAGGAAGACTGTTTCTGAGGCGTTTCAAAAAAGACTGGAGTGTGGTGCAGCGTGCCGGAGAACATCGTCCCGAATCCGCCCTCGCCCAGCTTGCGATCCGGCTTGAAGTTCTCCGTTGCAAACTGCCATGCCATGCCACGCATGGGGAAGGAAGGAAACCAGCGGATATTTTAGGCAACTTATAATATGTTCCGGCTTGAAGTTGTCCGTCCCCGACACGCCCTCGCCCAGCTTGCGATCCGGCTTGAAGTTCTCCGATGCAAACTGCCATGCAACGCCATGCCATGTCATGTCATGCCATGCCATGCCATGCCATGTCATGCCATGCCATGCCATGCCACGTCATGGGGGAGAAGGAAACGAGCTCAAGAGACAGTACGGCTTTGCCCAACTGGTACTGAAGTTCCAATCAACTGGTACTCGCGAGTTAAAAAAAAATTGTGACAACCTTGGCAAAATGGCCGAGTAAACAGAAAATCGCGAGTTTTTTTACTCCACGAGTTTTAAGAATCTCGCGCGACATTTGACCCTCCAGATCCGCGCAGATCTGGCATTTCGCCGCCAGACACGCGGGGATCTTTCTGGGCTTCACAAACCTGGCTTCGTGGGGGTTGAATGGTGGTGGGTGCTGGGTGGGGGGGGGTGGTTAACAGCGAGTCGAGTTTTACTTGACCCGGACGAGTTCTTTTGTAAACTCGTCCGACCTCGACCGTATGGTCGAGTTTCGAGTCGGCTCGTGGCACAAAAAACTTGTCCAGTTTTCCTTGACTTGGCTCGTGCGTGAGAAAAAAATGTCAAAACGAGTCCAATAAAACTCGTTTTGACATGTATGCCACAAAGTCAGCATGCAGGTACTCGCGGTAGTTGGCCATCATGCGCATGTGTGCAAGCACGAACGCACTCACCCACCCACCCACGCATTCACCCAACAACACACCCACCCATTCAACCCAACCACCCACCCGCCCATCTACCCACCCAACCATCTCCTGCCTCGCCTGCTTCCGCGCCTCCTCCACCTTCTACCCGAACATACTCAACCAACCACCCACCCATCCATCCATCCATCCATCCATCCATCCATCCAACAGCTCTCCACGCACCACAATGTCGTCATAAGAATACTCGCGGTAGTTCGCCATCATGCGCATGCTGCCCTTCTCCGATTTGGCCTTCTTCTCCGCCTCCTGCTCATTCGCCCCGTGCTCATCACCCCTCCACTCACCACAATGTCGTCATACGAGTACTCGCGGTAATTCGCCATCATGCGCATGCTGCCCTTCTACGGCCGCTCTGCTTCTAGCGATCCCCCCCCTCCCCTCCTCCCCCCATCCCTCCACGCACCACGATGTCGTCATAAGAATACTCGCGGTAGTTCGCCATCATACGCATGCACGCATGCACCTACCCACCTACCCATTCATCCATCCACCCCTCCACCCAGCCACCCAGCCATCCCCCCACCCCTCCACGCACCACAATGTCGTCATACGAGTATTCCCGATAGTTCGCCATCATGCGCATGCTGCCCTTTTCCGATTTCGCCTTCTTCTCCGCCTCCTGCCGCCGCTTCTCCTCCAGCTCCAGCGCCGCGCGCGTCATGGCCGCCTGCTTCATCGCCACCTCCGTCTTCTGCGCCTCCAGCTCCGCCTGCTTCCGCGCCTCCTCCGCCGCCGCCATGGCGCGCGCCGCCTCCTGCGACGCCATCTCGATGCGCACCGCCGTCTCCAGCTCCCGCCGCTTGTTCTGCGCCTCCACCTCGCGGAGAGAGCGGTCCGCTTCGGAGAGCGCGCGCTGCGCGCGCTGCTCCGCCTCCAGGCGCGCCTTCTCCGCCTCCGCCGCGCGCTGCCGCATCAGCTCCAGCTCGCGCCGTAGGTCATTCTGAGGGGGGTTCCGGGCGTGAATGGATGGTAATGCGAGGGGGAAGGGGAAGGGATGGGAGGGAAAGGGAGGGAGGGAAAGGGAGGGAGGGAACGGGAAGAGAGAGAGGGGAAGGAAGAGGAGGGAGGGGAGGGACGGGAAGGGAGGGGAGGGAAGGGGAGCGCGTTGCCACTTGAGCTCCATCTCTCAACGAAGATCGCTCTGGGAACAAGGCGTGGGGATGCCTTGAAGTAAGGCGTAATAATTACGGCTTGTGGGTATTGGGAATGAAAAAATACCAACTGGTACACGACAATTGTGTGTGTGTGGTGTGTGTGCACGTGGGGTGTGTGGGAGGGAGCGGGGGCGAGAGATCGAATGAAGGAGGAGGGAAAGGGTGATAGGGGAAACCAAGAGGGCGTAGGAAAGCGGGGGGAAAGGGGGGAAGGAGGGGGCGAAGGGGAGGGAGGGAGGGGGGGAAGGGGAGGGAGGGAGGGGGGGGAAGGGGAGGGAGGGAGAAAGGAGAAGGAGAAGAGGCAGCTTCTTAGACTCATATTTCAAGCTCCTCACCTCAACGCCACCACCACCGCCAACAGCGGAAACGTCCGAAGCAGCTGGAACAGGAGCAGGAATGGCCGCGGGATACGAATGCTGCATCCCACCCCCACCACCGCCACCATCACCCCTCATCTCCCCCCCACCACCGCCCGCAGGCGACCCTCCCCCTCCCCCTTCCCCCAGCTGCAGCCCCGCGAGCGCCGCGCGCGCCTTGGTCATGCGCGACTGGAGATCCGACATGAAGTCCTGCTGCTGCTGAAACGTCGCCGCCTGATTGGCCCGCTTCCACGCGTCGAACTCCGCCAGGTAATCGGATTGGAGCTTCTGTCCCTCGGCCGTGTTCGCCGCCTGCTTCGACCACGCCAGCGCCGACAGCGCCGCGGCCTGTTGGATATCGCTCCCGCCCTTGGGACCTCCGCCGCCGCCGCCGGGGGAGCTGTCCATGCTCCCCCCGTCCATGGAGAATCGCGATTGCAGGCTGCCGGATCCGCCGCCGCCGGACGCGGGCATGTAGGACGGCTGCATGGGTCCCGAGCCTTGTGGGCTGGAGTCGTTGCTGTCGTACTGGCTTCTCTGCGCTACTCCGCGCATTCCCCCCCCCATCATTTCCCCGTATGGCGCGTTCATTCCTCCACCGCCGCCGCCGCCCCAGCCCCCCCCTTGCGGAGCTCCCCCGCGTGCAGGGTACTGCTGGTACTGGCCGTAGGATGCGCCAATGGGGGCTCCGTATCCCCCTCCGCCAGATTCGTCATACTCGCCGCTTCTTCCTCCTGTGAATGAATTTTGTGGGGTAGCAAGAAAAAAACTTATGACATTGTTCAAGTTGTTTGGTGCAATCTCCTGTCTCCATGTTGTGGGGCGGAACGACCTGCTATGCCCGATGCTCAATTTTTGTTCAGTTCTCGTTTCCTCGCCCTTCCTAAATTCTTGTTTTTTTTTTTCCAGAATTCCGAAAAAAAAGATCCAGAATTCAATCTGCCCTCATTTCCCTTCTTCAGAAGTGTTCCCTGCATGATCCGAAGTGATACCATGACAAACAGCAAAACTGCCACTGATGCAACGCTTACCTGATTCGTTGAACCCGCCGCTGTAGGTCGGTTCGAGGGAACCCGAGCCTTGGCCAGACCCTCCCGAGCCTGGCATCAGACGACCCGAGCCAGCAGGACTCCCCGAAGCGGATGACAAGGGCGAGCCCTCCGATTCCTTATACAGCACGACCTTATACTTTTGAATCACAAAAACGGAGAGCCCGTGAGGCTTATAACGAACGCAGTACGCTCCGGTACTCGATGACTTGCCCCGCCTGCCATGTCAAACACAGATCAGCACGTGAGACGGCTCCCAGATTCTCTTTCCAAGGTGCATGGCTCGCGAAGAAAACTTGACAAGCAGTGAAACAGCGGGAACGACGCTTACATGCTGAACATTCCTCGAGCATTGGTTCCTAGAACCAGCGTCGTCGCTTTCAGCTTGCTCGACTCTTCCACGATGCCCTTCTCTCTCGAGTTGTTTCGGCCGACCTTCAGCTCTAACTTGATCTGCATCGGACGGACGACCAAAAACGTAAAAAAAAAGACATTGTCTTTTTCCTGTCTCGTTTTACAATCGGGTCGTCGTCCAGGGAAACCGCGACTCGTTACAGAATGGCTGCAGTCACTCGTATCAATACCACGAAGACATCAGATGCTAAAGCAAACAGCTGATACCTTGGGATCGACGAGTTTCTTCAGAGAGAGCATCATAGGCTGCACGATGGTGCGAACATAATGCACGAACATGGTGTTGTTGACCTCGCTCTGATACATCTCCACCGCTCCTGCAGCCAGAACCAACCAAAAGAAATGAATATTCTTGAACTTTGAGCAGGCGGAAGCTGTGTACTGTCTCCTGAAGAGCTTTGAAAGAAATCCTGGAGAAATGAGCATGGGGATATGGCCGTGATTGATGCTGGCAATGCAGTAAGTTTTGCCAAAGTGAATCAAACTGCAGTAATAATTGCCTTAGTGGCCGCATTTTGACAAAAACAGACGAGCAAGACTGTTTTATCCAAACAACTTAAATACCTGCAACTTGCCTTCCCGCTCCTCCATAAGCACCCATACCTGATCCGCGAAACAGGAATACTAGTTAAAAATGTGCAGGCAATAATAATAGAAGCACAGACTTACGAATGCGCACTTAGGAAAAGATATACTTCCAGCTTAGGAGAAAGGGAGACTTAGACTGCTTACTTGGGCTGGGGATCTTAGTGACCACATGGAGCAATATAAGGATGTCATCTGGACTGCGAACTTTATTCGTAATGGCCCATTTAATGGCTTCTTTACACGATGGGTCCTTACTAACTCCGACAACGACTCTCTCCCCGCCAAACTCAAAGCCGTCGCCTGGCGCCATTTCGAGCTCAAGTGACCACAAGCATCGACACCGCGACCCGCAAAAAAAGGCGAAAAAAAAAAAACTACAACTGGAAAACGCTACAGGAAGAAGCGGCGGATAGCACGGAGGGGACAACTGTAGGAATGTTACAGCTGGCTAACTTTCCCTTAGATTGCGCGAGGCTGGGTCGAAGGGATCCAAACCCTAGCCTCTCCCTTGGCAGACCGAGGGAAGCCCTAGGAGGTGAATTGAAATAGCAACACCAACCAAGAGCCAGCAGGCGAACAGGTGAGGGGAGAGTTCCGGGGGAAGGTTGCGGGAAAGCAGAAGCATGAAGCGGAAGACCCGGATAGCCGTGGGAGAGCGGAAGAGAGTTGTGAGGGGAAGGTTGTGGCGATGTAGACGTAGGAGGCGGAAAGCGGGGAGTACGGGAGGAGAGCGGAAGGAGAGCGGAAATGGATCCCCCAAGAGCGGACGGAAAACGAAGCAACGCGGAGGGGCTTGTATTGCGGATGTATACATTGCCCTTCGAAGGGTCGTTTTCAACAACCTGAACAGGGTTCTCCTTGGTTCGACTGAATAACAAACGGCTTAGTTGGGTGGATCAGATTCTGGAACCCTCGGAAGGAGCATAGAGATACTCGCTCGCACGCAAGGGAGGTGGTGGCTGGGGCAAGGGGAAAACGAGCTCAGATTTTGTGGATAACGAACATCGACATCGCGAAAAAGGTAACTTAACTTGATCTCTTCTGTTACTCACTCCATTGTACTACACCAGGCCATATATGATTCTTCAACTGTGTGTTCACCAAATAAGTTGCTTCGTTAAATTATATCGTTACGAAACGCACGAATCGGGCCGTTACCTGCTCTCCAAATCTTGCATCTACACGTGGCATCAGAAGAAGCTGGGTTCAGCAGCTGTTCGTTGTGTTGTACGAAAGTGTTGTCCGTTTGCAGAAATGGACCATTTTCACTTGTCCGGCAGTGTTCACTCCGACTAGCATTTCTAGTCATGTCATTCCAGGAGAGGCGAGCCTAGTCCTTAGCGACACCTGCCTGTCACGGATTGGTCCCGGGCAGGCCTAACTTTTCGTTGCGCTCCACTATGCCACTTCAGGGTTCCCCCCACCCGCTCGGCTTGGTTAGAGCCATAATATTTTAAACATAAAGCTGAACTGGTTCACACTAGTCTCCCAAACCTCGGACCAGAATATTCCACTAATTAGGAACAAAACATAATTTGTTAGCATTCTCTTATGGAAAAACTACTCAACTTGCAATTTATCCAAACACTCATGTAACTTCCAGCACACACCACCGAAACATGCGAAAGCCTTCTCATTCCCACTCTATTTTACTCGGATCAAGATGGGCTACACGGGCAAGATCCCGCTCCTCCGCTCAGGGCCGGACGCATAATGAAAACACGCACGTGGACTTTTTATGGGTTAAAGTATTATGGGACCGGTTATTGCCGAGTTGTCCAAGAGAAACCCGGGTATAACACATTGCAGAGGAGGGTCAGGTTCAGGTCCAAGTTTCTGTCCAGGCTGGTTATGCCATGTCAGCAAACCGCGAATCCTTTGACGAGCCGCATTTCTGTTCTACCGTGGCGCACTTTTGAATTTGCACGTAGGAATTTGCACAATCCTTCTGAATGTGACATGTGATGGGATGAGATTGTAGAGAGCTCGGTTTTGTGAAGGTTCTTTGGACATGGCAGCAACACCGCTGCAAGACGGGCACGAGTTCGTTCGTAGGTGTGACATCGCGTGGCATTGGCCTTGTACTGTACGGCTTCCAGCATACAGTACACTGGTGCACTTGCTTGATCTCTGCCTCAGTGAGCTGCTGTAGGCTCAACAGTTGCAGAACGAGGCAGTTGCTCAATGCTCACTTGCCGTGACTAGTGTCCAATTCTGGACCAACCAACCGCTCTCCCGCCCTTTTCCCTTCTCCTATCTCCGCCTTCACATTCCCCTCGATACAATGCCATAGCTCGTCCTTGCTTTCCAACTAGGACGCCATCTCTGTCCTGTCGCAGTCCCCTTGTGCCGCCAAGCTTTACAAGCCTCTCTGTTCCGTCTATCCAAAATTTAGCGTGCTTGAAACTAGCGAACCAACTAGCAAAGAAGTAGGGTCACACAAGGACAGTCTGCGAGGTTGCCACCGGGTATCGCTCGGAACTACAGGGCTGGTTCTAGTAGTCAGAACTTTGCTTGAGGCGGTGGGGTCTAACAAGCCAATAACGTGGGATCATTTGCGCGCAGTCAACGCCCAGCGCAGTCACACGCATCCTTAGGTGGCTCCTAAAGCAAAACGCATAGCAACGACCGTGCGTAGTAGGTTCCACCGACCATGGCAATGTGCGCTTCGACTGACTGTCCAGTGGCGTTTTAGTCGCCCGATCCGTGGCTTATAATCGCAACGACGAAGCATAGTAGCGCTTCGGGCCAAACGCGCAACATGTCTTCAGGAACCGTTTATCCAGAACAGGACAGATTAGACCGAAATGTCATCGTGCCACCTGGAAGCCCCAACTTGAGCGCAATTGCGGCGACGGCGGCATCTCTAACCACTGACTCGTACAGCATCCTTGCCAGCGCGGACCTGACGTCAGCGCTTTCCCTGGCCGAACACGTGGCACGCCTGACCACAACTCCGCACCTCTACGTGCATCGCAGCAGCGTGGAGAAAGTCGCGGTGTGCGTGCGACAGCTGCTGCCGACGCTCCATCTGCTGAAAAGCTCCGCCCCTTCGCTTTCATTCGACCCGCGCTCCGCGTTCGTCCTCCGCCGTCTCGCTTCGGAGCTGAAAGACGTTATCGCGTTGCTCAAGGCGTGCAAGCTGACTATACCGGGGATGTTTTTCAGCCTGGGGCATCATCATAAGGGGCTGGCTCGCAAAGCAGATGCCTGCGTGACAGAAATCCGACATTGTCACACCGTATGCTCGATGCTGCTAGGACAGGCTTCTAATACCACCAATGCCAAAATCGCCGCCGACCACCTGCCGCTGTCGACCTCGTTAGTGTCACAGGCGCCACCGCCGACGCCGCAGAATCACTTCCCGTTACGAACCGTCTCATGCAGTCACACTAGCGGGTCGAGCAAGGAACCTTCCGCGTTTCTGGAGTCGTACAGCGGGAGCGGTATCACCGGCGGAAGCGGAAGTTCGGTATTGTTCCCGGGCGGCGGGGCGGAACAACCCGCGCGGGTGCTGCAGCAGGTGGCGGAAATGTTCCCCCAGAGCCCCATGATCGGCCCCTCCGCCGCTACCTTCTCCGCCAAAGACTCCGCAAGGCCTCCTGGGATGATGACGTGGCAGCAGATGCAGGTGCGCGGGATCCCCCCGAGGTCGATTTCCGCCTCCGCCGCGTCCGGGTTTGGCGCGCCACCAGCGGGTGGACTGTACGGGAGAGGCGGGTCCGCGGGTCGGCAACGACCGGGGATTCTAACGGGGGCGCCGCCGCTGGCGCTCCTTGGGGGGGAGCGCGATAGCAGCGCGACAGATGCTGCGGCGTCCGCGGCACTCGCCTTGATAGGAGCTAACAACGGCGGCGGCGGCGGCGGCGGCGGCGGCGGCGGCGGTGGTGGAGGGAACCGTTTCGCGGGCCCGGGCCGAACCTACACCGTCTCCTCCGCTTCCTCCGGCAGAATACAGCCGTACTACGGTTCAATCGCCGTCTCGCCTCGTCCGCTCAGCCCCGCGACCGCCGCCGCCGCCGCCGCTGCCGCCGCGTTCGCCGCGCCGAGGATGTTCTCCCCGCGGCGCCCCCGCGCGTCGTCCCCGCTGCCGTCTGCTCTCAACCGGTCGAGCATCTCCGCCGCAGCTGCGGCGAGCGCGAACGTGTGCCGGCTCGTGGACGCACTGGCGGAAGGATCAGCGGAAGAGAAGCGCGCGGCCCTGGCTTCGCTAATGGATGTGACTGTAACGGATGAAGGGAAGCTACAAGCCGCGGCGGCGGGAGCGGTGCCGGTTCTGTCGGTGCTGCTATCGCTGCCTGAAGACGACTTCCTATTGGACGACGAGTCGACGTTACAAGGTTGCGTGGACGACGATGATTGGTTCCAAGGAGGGGGTGTGCTTTCCGCCGGGGGAAGCGTAGGGGGGAGCGGAGGTGGGAGCGCGGGTAGCCGGGGAACGGGGAGAACAGGGGGAAGCGGCAGTGGGGAACGGGGAAAACCAGCGGGCATAAGCTGCGGAAGGGGCGCGGTGGCGGCGTTGCTTCCGCTTCCCCCGCTCCCGCAGCCCCCTCCGCGCGAGTCGCTGAATCTTCTCGTGGCGCGCGCTTTGGTGCAGCTCTCCGCGCTTCCCGCTAATTGCCAGGTTATCGCTAAGGCGGGGTGCGTGCCGTCGCTAATCGCCATGCTTCGCGGCGGCAACCCCGAGGCGCAGGGGGTCGCGGTGAACCTGCTGCTGAACCTTGCGACGGGCTGCGACAGCGACGGCGACAGCAAGTCTCCCGCGATCCTCGCAGGCGAGGCGATTCCGTCGCTCGTCGCCATCGTCCAATCAGCGAGCGAGGCGAAAGTCCGGCGACAGGCGATGGAGGCCCTCGCACACGTCGTCGCGAAGGCCAAGGAGAACCAAGACGCCGCGGCGAGAGCCGGCGCGATCCCGATATTGACAGAAGCGTTAAGAGAAGGCTCGCTGCTGGTACAGGAAAAGGCGGCATTCGCGCTGGGCTCGATCGCGGAGGATAACGACGAAAATAAAGTAATGGTTGCTGGGACGGGAGCCGTGCCGCCGCTGCTAGATCTCCTCCTTTGCGGGCCGGCAGATATCAGCCTGCAGGAGCGCGTTTCACGGCGGGCGGCGTGGGCGTTGTTTGCGCTGAGCTCGCATCGTTTGTCCGCTTCGTATATCGTCGCCTCGGGTGGGTTGGACGTCGTGAAACGAGCGAACGAGGATGGGCCGTTGGATACGAAGGAATGGACGGCGAAGATCATCCCGCTTCTGGAGCCAGTGGCGGAGCAGCACCAGCAGGAGCAGCAGCAGGCGGCGTGGCAGCAGAAGTGGACGAATCAGCGTCGGGGAGGAGCTGACACGGTCCTGCGAAAATCGTACGATGACGTGGCATCGAATCAGGAGGGGCCATGTCCGAAGGGGCATAAAGCGTCCAGGTTAAGTGAACAGGAATGTAGCCGCCCGGAGGAGTCACAGGAAACGGGCAAGGAGAACAAAGACGGGCAGAGGAGGAAACAGTTACAGGAGGACGAGCGGATGGAATTGAAGGAAGACAAGAATGTGGAATATAGAGAGGTGGACTGCGAGGAGCCGGGCACAGGTGGTGAGGAGGAAGCAATAGATAAGGTCACAAGGAGTTATGATTCTGGTGAGGAATTTAAGTGTGAGCAGCATTCTTTGGTTGGTGAAGGGAAAAGCCTGAAGGCTCAACTGAGCAAACAGCAGCTTGCCGAAGGGGAGGGAGGGCAGACAGAGAAAGAACAGATGCAGCTGCAGAAGCTCAAGCAGGAGGGACAGCAGGAGCCGAAGCAGCCACATCACAGGAAGCAGCAGCAGCACCAGCAGCTTCAGAAGCGACCAATGTGGCAGTTCAGTGTTCATCCTTCATCCAACACTGGTGGAAGCATGAGGCACCTGTGCAAGCAGAAGCCGCAATCACCGCAGCCACAGCAGCAGCAGCAGCAACAACAAAGCAAGGCAGCCAATGCCAGGTGAGAATTGCAACAATATCATTTCTGTGCATAACAGGAACAATGAGAGTTTCCCCTTTATACTTACCTGGAAGCATGTCCAGCTTATTCTACAAGTTTTTTCTTATTGAACGAGCCAAGGTTGTCTTTCCACCATAGATTATGCGATGGTGCTTTGCGTCCTATAATGCTCTTTATTCGTTTCCGTTTCCAGGCCCTGCAGGGTTCACAGGCAGGAACCTTGACATGGAAGATACATCACTCTAACAACTTACCTGCACACCATGTGTCGTCCTAAGGCGAGAGGCTGTTTGACTGACCTATGGCCATTCGCTATATCCCATTTGATCATGACAATCTAGGTAGGCTTTTATTTGTTGAACAAACCATGTTTCCTTCTGCATGTTTGCTTACTTTGACTAACTTTGATGAATGATTTGCTCAAGTCGGCCATAAGTTATTCGTGAATGAGAGTAGCATGGTGCGTACACTGCTTATGGTGGCTAGATGTAGAGCAACCACAATGAACCTGTTCAAGCTCACCCGTGCCGCTCTGCTTGGGTGTTTCAAACTTCCGGGCAGTAACAGCGGATTTGGCGGAATGCTGGTTGCCGTTGGATGGAGCTGCCGGAGAGTTGGTTGAGTTGAGAACAGCATTGCACGGGCAGCTACACGACGACGACAGTGATGACCTTGTAACGGGTCACCCGTTAAAAAAGAGCCTACCGCGTATTGTCCCCCGCGACGCGTTAGTTTTCGGTGTGCTGATTGTGTTGGCAAGGCAATTGGAAAGGAAAGTGGAACCAGAGCGGGCAGTTTCACCAATGTCGTGTTTTGTCGTTGACAAACAAACCTGAAACGGCTGCTGAAAAATAAAAACGCCCGTAACTCGGTTATCATAGGTTCGTTCATGGGTTCACATCACGGGCGGGAAAAAAACATTTCAATAAAGAAGCCATCTGCTTCCGAAAATGTGTCGCCGTTTTTACTCGCGTTATTTGTTTCGTTTCCATGTTGTAATCTTGCACATTATTGGGTAAATCGCTCCACCGGAGGCCTTCCCTCTCCACGTCGGGACAGCCATCCTGTACCGTGCCGCTTCCTAATGCCAGTTTTCCCAATGTGAGAATCTCCATCAAAACAACTCTTACGTTAGCTTGTCCTTTTCTCCAATCTGCCTTGCTTTCTTAGCAATCTTATAGCTCGTGCTGCATTGCGATCGTTCGCGTCGGTCGATATAAATAGAAAACGAATGCTTGTACATAGTGCCGTAAACTCGCCTTCCCAACTATCTCAAGCGTTTCGTTTCCGCAAATTGCGTGTTTTATTACGTTTTATGAGTCGACTAAAAATGAAAGCTCAAGCGTGAGAGTCTTCATAGTGTCATTTAGCGCACGGCGATAAGCTATTCCTCCCTTAACAGTGAAGCCTGGGTAACGTTAGTTCCCTCAAAAGCGTGAAGACCACTGGTGCACCAGTGACATAACGCCAAGGATTGCCAGGGAATGCCACGGATTGCGCTTAGAATCCCTGAAAGCGTTGGTGATGAGGAAAAGTCGAGTTATGGCGGGTAGACACAACGAGTCTCTTCATAAGTCATTGGACAGTCACGGCGCTGGCTGTAATGGCGGAAACATCCTCTCTTCCCAAAGCTTTATATATCCTGCGCGGCTAGCCATTAGACTCTCGTTCTAAGAGCTCGCCACGTGACGTAAGGACCAGCACTTCATAGTCTCGCCATTGGACGATCCTGTAGGGTTCGTGGTACTTTCCGCGTCAGGTCAGGGATTATTGATTCAGCACGTTTCGCGGAGCCCCGACGACTATGTCACACGCAACAGTCGCCGCAGTAGCTTCCAGCCGCGCTTCGCCGTGTCTATCTCCCCGCGATTCACGGCGACAGCCTTGGAGTTACCGTTGCTGTCGCGGAGCGATTCGACCTGAAAGCATGCGCTCTCGCTGCGACTCACAGCGACAGCAGCTACCGCGTTTTCCGGAGCTCCTGACGGTCCTGATGGTACCGTTGCTGCTGCTGCTGCTGGCACTGGCAGTCGGTCAAGCAGAAGGTATGCCCAGAGCTTCGGTTCTAGATTAACTTGGAGTCATTTTTGAAAATTCTCAGAAGGTATGTCAGGAGCTTCGGCTCAATATTAACTTAGAAAGGTTCCCGGCGGTTCAGGATTCATATGGGAAGGTTTCCAGCTCATGATTAGTGTGGCTGCTGCTAGTCTGTCTACAGATATTCCTTTCTTGCCATCCCCTTCTCACCCTATTGTCATCCACCTTCTCCCTCACCCTCTCCCTTCCCCTCCCTTTGCTCCCCTCGTTCTCGCGCTTCCCATCCCGTTCCCCTCTCCTCCCTCCCTTTCTCTACTTGCACCCCCGCCCTCCCCTCCCCTCTCTTTCCGTCCCTTTCCCACTCCCCCCTCCCCCTCTTCCCGTCCCTCTCCACCGCTTCGCATCCCTTCCCACTCCTTATCCACCAGCCGCGTGCCCGCTGCTGCCAGAGGTGCATGTGGACGCGGCAGCCAGCAGCAGTCAGCCCGCTCAGTGCTGTGGGGACTCCGGCAATCCCTGTGGTGAGTGTTTTCTTGATTCCTCAAGAGGTGGACAGAGGCGGAGTGGCTTTAGCACAACCGCTGCTGCCAGAGGTGCATGTGGACGCGGCAGCAGCCAGCAGCAGTCAGCCCGCGCAATGCTGTGGGGACTCCGGCAATCCCTGTGGTGAGTGTTTTCTTGATTCCTCAAGAGGTGGACAGAGGCGGAGTGGCATTAGCACAACCGCTGCTGCCAGAGGTGCATGTGGACGCGGCAGCAGCCAGCAGCAGTCAGCCCGTGCAATGCTGTGGGGACTCCGGCAATCCCTGTGGTGAGCTGCTGGAGAATTTGCAAAAAATATATTGCTCCACAATTCGGAGGCAACACAAAGGGAGCAGGGATACGGGGCGCTGCCTTGCACCACAATCGAACCGAATTCTATGCTGACGTTTCATGGCGCTCCGTTTGTCCGTTCAGCCACCTCTTTCTCGCTTTCTTAAATTCACTTTTTATACTTTTCAACATCGAATCTTTCTCTCGTTCGCTCCCTTCTCACACTGACCCGTCTTCCTTCCGTGCCCTTCCCTTGTCTGTCACATGCCTTGTGTTCCCTGCCTTGCCTTGCATCCACCCAATTCCGTTCAGGCACAATCGAACAGGCTCTCACAGTGTAAGCCACTCACCCTTTCTCCAAGTTCCCCTCTCCCTATTTCCAAGCCTCCGCTCCCTCCTTTCTCCCTTGCTTCCTTGCTTCTCTTACTCCTTATTCCCTCCCTCTGCCCCTCCCCCCCTTCGCCCTTTGTCCGTCCGCCCGTCCGTCCCTCCCTTGTTTCTTTCTGTCTTTTCTCCACTCACGCCCCTTCTGATTGCCTTCACTGCCCCATACTCACTACACCACTCTCGCTTTCCCCCACGCTCACTCCAAATTCCCCGTCCCCGTCACTTCAACCTTTCAACCCTCCACTCTCCCTTCTCTCCCCCCTCCCCCCCCCCCCCCCACCAGCATCCCCCCCACAGGCGGAACCCTCCTCCCCACAGGCACTCACGCTGTCTCTCCTCTCGGCCTGCAACTAAGGGGTCTTCCCCTCACCATCACTGCTGCCTCACTTCCCCCATCCCCTCCCCCATACCCTCCCCCCCTCCCCCATCCCCTCCCCCATCCCCATCCCCTTCCCCATACCCTTCCCATCCCCACCCACCACCAGCATCCCCCCCACAGGAGCCACCATCTTCCTGTCCCCAGGCACTCACTCCGTCCCTCCCCTCGGTCTGCAACTGGGGGGTCTTCCCCTCACCATCACCGCCGCTGCTGCTGCTGCTGCTGGCAAATCTGACCCTTTGCCTCCCCCTCCCGTAATCAATTGTGAGAGCGGCAACAGCAACAGCAGCAGCAGCAGCAGCGGTGTGACGTGCTTAATTGCCACGTGTGCAGCAGCAGCAGGGGGCGGGAGCATGTGCAGTGAGGAGCAGGCGAAGCTGCTGCTGCAGGGAGTGGTAGTGGCCAATGGCAGAGCAGAAATCACCAGCGATACCACCACCAGCAGCACTGGCACTGGCAGCAGCAGCAGCAGCAGCAGTGCTGGTGGTGGTGCGGGTAGCGGGGGCTGTCTGCTAGTGCAGGGGCAGGCAGTGGAAATCACAAACTCCTCGTTCCTCAACTGCACTGCTGCTGACGGTGGTGGTGCAATCTTCGCTGCAGATTCCCCCAATGTGACCATCTCTGGCTCTCGCTTCGAAGGCTGTAAAGCACTTGGCGCCCCCACTGCCGCTGCTGGTGCTGCTGGTACTGCTGGTGCCGGTGCTGCGGGTGCTGCTGGTGCTGCTGGTGCCGGTGGTGGTGCTGCTGAAATTATTGGCAAAGGGGGAGGAGCCGTTGCCCTCTACAATGTTGCCCACGTGGCGGTCTCCGATTCGTCCGTTCTCGACTGCACCTCCTCGTCCACCAATGGCGGCGGCCTCGCCATCGTCTCGTCCAACGCCGCGCTGACAGCTGTCCGCTTCTCGGGCTGCTTCGCGCAGAACCTGGGCGGCGCGGTCTCGTCTTCTCTCTCCAACGTGACTGTAACGAGCTGCGAGTTCCGCGACTCACGCGCCATGCGGGGAGGATGCTTCTCGGACGATTCCTCTCCGCTCGTCTCCATCTCCTCCTCCTCGTTCCTCCGGTGCAACGCGGATGTGTCCAAGGAAGGGGATATCTACAGCAAGGTGAACGGCGGGGGGGTTGCGCTCAACGCAACTGCCGCTTTCACCGTACGCAACTGCACCTTCTCCCGCTGCCTCGCGGTTATGGACGGCGGCGGACTCGACTCTCTCGACGCCGGAAACCTACTGTAGACTCCTCCACTTTCCGCTTGTGCTCCGCGTACGATAATACTGGCGGCGGCGGGGGAGCAGTGTCGTCCCGCGGCGGGAACATCACCATTCGAGGGACCCTGATGGAGAAAAACTGGGTTAACAGCACTATGGTTGGTTTCGGCGGGGCGATCGCAATCATGGATACGGAAATGGGGATTTTTAACTCGACTTTCCGGGAGAATATTGCTTACGGGCATTTGTACGGGACGTTGAGTCAGGGAGGGGTGATTAATCAGCAGTGGACGATGCGGGATGTGGTGATTCCGCTGGTGATGGAGGAGTGTGCGTTTGAGAGGAATGTGGCGGATTTCGGAGCGGTGGGGTACTTTGAGGGGCATGTGACTGTGAGGCGGTCGCGGCATGAGAGGAACGAGGCGCAGTTCCGATATGGAGGAGCGTGTGAGTATATGGGGAGTTTGAAGGGTGGGGGGGTGTGTGTATACGAGGGGGTGTGAGCGTGGAAGGTTGTGAGTGTGGGGGTTGTGAGGGTGGGGGGTGTGAGGGTGGGGTGTGTGAGGGTGGAGGGTGTGAGGGTGGGGGGTGTGAGGGTGGGGAGGGTGAGGGTGGGGGCTGTGAGGGTGGGGGCATGCGTTGGCAAGCAATGCATATAGCATCCGTTGAGATATGTCTTCAATGCTCTTACCATATCCCCTCTCTCCTCCCTTTTCCATTGCACCCCTCTCCCGTCCCCTCCCCCTTCCCCCATCCCCCTTAACCCCCCCCAGACTACGCCACCATGAGCACCACCATAGAGGATTCTCTCTTTGGTGCTTCACCGCTTTCATGCTCTTATGCACCGCTCTACACCCCTGTCTTCTCCCTCCCTCCTCGCAGACTACGCCACCATGAGCACCACCATAGAGGATTCTCTCTTCGCACACACCACCGTGCTGCAGGACTTGCCCCACATCACCCCGCTCCCTGCACCCCTCTTTCCAGCCCAACCTCTCCCCATCCACCAATCGACTCCCTCTTCTGTTCCCTCCCCTGCCCACCCCTCCTCCACACTACGCCACCATGAGCACCAGCATAGAGGATTCTCTCTTCGCGCACAACACAGTGCTGCAGGACGGGGGGGCGATCCCCACAGCCTCACTCCTTCCCACCTCCCCTCTCCCATGCCCCCATGCACCACTCTAAACCCCTCTCCACTCCCCTCTCCCACCTCTCCCCCCCAGACTACGCCACCATGAGCACCACCATAGAGGATTCTCTCTTCACACACAACACAGTGCTGCAGGACGGAAGTACTCTTGCCACAGCCTTTCTCCTTCCCACCTCCTACCTCCCATCACCCATCTCCCATCTCCTCCTCTCCCCCTCTCCCTCCCCCCCAGACTACGCCACCATGAGCACCACCATAGAGGGTTCTCTCTTTGGTGCTTCACCCCTTTCATGCTCTGATGCACCGCGCTACACCCCTGTCTTCTCCCTCCCTTCCAGACTACGCCACCATGAGCACCACCATAGAGGATTCTCTCTTCGCACACACCACCGTGCTGCAGGACTTGCCCCACATCACCCCGCTCCCTGCACCCCTCTTTCCAGCCCAACCTCTCCCCATCCACCAATCGACTCCCTCTTCTGTTCCCTCCCCTGCCCACCCCTCCTCCACACTACGCCACCATGAGCACCAGCATAGAGGATTCTCTCTTCGCGCACAACACAGTGCTGCAGGACGGGGGGGCGATCCCCACAGCCTCACTCCTTCCCACCTCCCCTCTCCCATGCCCCCATGCACCACTCTAAACCCCTCTCCACTCCCCTCTCCCACCTCTCCCCCCCAGACTACGCCACCATGAGCACCACCATAGAGGATTCTCTCTTCACACACAACACAGTGCTGCAGGACGGAAGTACTCTTGCCACAGCCTTTCTCCTTCCCACCTCCTACCTCCCATCACCCATCTCCCATCTCCTCCTCTCCCCCTCTCCCTCCCCCCCAGACTACGCCACCATGAGCACCACCATAGAGGGTTCTCTCTTTGGTGCTTCACCCCTTTCATGCTCTGATGCACCGCGCTACACCCCTGTCTTCTCCCTCCCTTCCAGACTACGCCACCATGAGCACCACCATAGAGGGTTCTCTCTTCGCGCACAACACAGTGCTCCAGGACGGGCTGGAGGCGATTGCCTCACTCCTTCCCATCTGCCCTCTCCTATACTCCTATGCACCGCTCTAAACTCCTCTCCCCTCCCTCCAGACTACGCCACCATGAGCACCACCATAGAGGGTTCTCTCTTCGCACACAACACAGTTCTGCAGGACGGGGGAGCCATCGCCACAGCCTTCACTCCTTCCCATGCTCCCATGCACCGCTCTAAACCACCTCACATCCCCCCTAACCCACCCCCCCCCCCCCCCCTCCTCCCCAGACTACGCCACCATGAGCACCAGCATAGAGGATTCTCTCTTCGCGCACAACACAGTGCTGCAGGACGGGGGGGCGATTGCCACAACCTTCACTCCTTCCTACCTCCCCTCTCCCATGCCCCCATGCACCACTCCAAACCCCTCTCCACTGCCGTCTCCCACCTCTCCCCTCTCAGACTACGCCACCATGAGCACCACCATAGAGGATTCTCTCTTCGCACACAACACAGTGCTGCAGGACGGCGGGGCCATCGCCACAGCAGGCCTAATGGGCACGGTGGTGCGCGGGTGTGTGTTTCGCAACAACACTGCCATCTCTGGAGAGGGCGGCGCGATCTTCGTTCTCGATGTGAGTCAACTCGAGTCGAGTAAGTCAATGGAGTCAATGGGGGGGGGCGGGGTTGCTGGGCTGGGCACGGTGGTGCGCGTGTCTGTCTTTCGCAACAACACTGCCATTTCTGGAGAGGGCGGCGCGATCTTTGTGCTGGATGTGAGTCAACCGAGTCAACCGAGTCAACGAGTCAAACGGGGTGGTCACACGACCTGTCTCTTCTGGGTTCTTGAAAGTGACATGTGTCTGTGCCGTATGCGCCTTGACTTGACCTCCTGGCCTCTTCACTTTTCTCATGATTCTCTTCACTTGTCAAATGAGCCTGCCTTCTTCCTTGATTTTCTCCTGTCTCCTCTCTCCCCTCTCCTCTCTCCCCTCTCCCCTCTCCCCTCTCCCCTCTCCTCTCTCCTCTCTCCCCTCTCCTCTCTCCTCTCTCCCCTCTCCCCTCTCCTCTCTCCTCTCTCCCCTCTCCCCTCTCCTCTCTCCTCTCTCCTCTCTCCACCCTCCTCTCCTCTCTCCCTTCTCTCCCCTCCCCACTCCCCCCTCTCCTCTCTCCCCTCTCTTCTCTCCTCTTTCCTCTCCTCGCCCGCACAACAACAGGGCACGGAGGGAGCAGTGGAGGTGGAGGGGAGTCGCTTTGAGAGCAACACAGCGCCGGCATCCAAGGGGGGCGCCATCTCTGCTGCCTGTGCCCGCCTCACCCTCGCCCACACCACCTTCGACAACAACCTTGCTCTCCTCTCTACGCCCTCCTCTCTCCTCTCTCCCCTCGCCCGTGCAACAGGGCACGGAGGGAGCAGTGGAGGTGGAGGGGAGTCGCTTTGAGCACAACACAGCGCCGGCATCCAAGGGGGGCGCCATCTCTGCTGCCTGTGCCCGCCTCACCCTCGCCCACACCACCTTCCACCGCAACCATGCTCCCCTCTCTCCTCTCTCCTCTCTCCTCTTTCATCTCTCCCCTCTCCCCTCCCCTCTCCCCTCTCCCCTGTCTCCTCTCCCCTCTTTCCTCTCCCCTCGCCCGCGCAACAGGGCACGGAGGGAGCAGTGGAGGTGGAGGGGAGTCGCTTTGAGGGCAACACTGCGCCGGCATCCAAGGGGGGCGCCATCTCTGCTGCCTCTGCTCGCCTCACTTCCTCTTTCCTCTCTCTCCTCTCTTCCTTCCCCGCGCAACAACAGGGCACGGAGGGAGCAGTGGAGGTGGAGGGGAGTCGCTTTAAGGGCAGCACAGCGCCGGCATCCAAGGGGGGCGCCATCTCTGCTGCCTCTGCCCGCCTCACCCTCGCCCACACCACCTTCCACCGCAACCATGCTCCCCTCTCCCCTCTCTCCTCTTTCATCTCTCCCCTCTCCTCTCTCCTCTCCCCTCTCCCCTGTCTCGTGTCCCCTGTTGCCCTCTCCCCTCGCCCGCGCAACAGGGCACGGAGGGAGCAGTGGAGGTGGAGGGGAGTCGCTTTGAGAGCAACACAGCACCGGCATCCAAGGGGGGCGCCATCTCCGCTGCCTCTGCCCGCCTCAACCTCGCCCACACCACCTTCCACCACAACCATGCTCCCCTCTCTCCTCTCCCCACTCCCCTCTCCCCCCGCCCGTGCAACAGGGCACGGAGGGAGCAGTGGAGGTGGAGGGGAGTCGCTTTGAGGGCAACACAGCGCCGGCATCCAAGGGAGGCGCCATCTCTGCTGCCTCTGCTCGCCTCACCCTCGCCCACACCACCTTCCACTGCAACCGTGCTCTTGTGAAGGGCGGTGCTGTTGCAGGTGGGTTGGTTGGCAGCAGCACCTTGCAATGCAACCAGTTGTATCACGCACGCCGGTGCTGGAATACTGGACTGTTGAGTTGAGTTGAGTCGCTTGGCTAAGGTCACCCTCGCCCACACCACCTTCCACTGCAACCGTGCTCTTGTGAAGGGCGGTGCTGTTGCAGGTGGGTTGGTTGGCAGCAGCACCTTTCAATGCAACCAGTTGTATCACGCACGCCGGTGCTGGAATACTGGACTGTTGAGTTGAGTTGAGTCGCTTGGCTAGGGTCACCCTCGCCCACACCACCTTCCACTGCAACCATGCAATTGTGAAGGGCGGTGCTGTTGCAGGTGGGTTGACTGGAAGGCCGCAATGCAGGGGAACGGCGGAATGTTGATGCCTATGGTCACTGTCGCCCACACCACCTTCCACTGTAACCTTGCTCTTGTGAAGGGCGGTGCTGTTGCTGCAGGTGGGTTGGCAGCAGCACCTTTCAATGCAACCAGTTGTATCACGCACAGCGCTGCTGGAATACTGGACTGCTGAGTTGAGTCGCTTGGCTAGGGACGGCTGGAATGGAATACTGTCGCTCGCAACACCCTCCACTCCACTGCATTCATGCCTGCCCGTGCAACGTGGGGTTGCTTGCTTGCAACAGCGCAACGCTGGGCGGAGCAGCGCTGCAGCTGGGCATGGCGGCTCGCGCTGCACTCATTCATGGGGTTCCGCCTGGAAGGAGGGAGGGAACTGACTTTTGAGAATTCTCAAAAGTGATTTCACATAAGGTTCAGCCCGGAAGGAGGGAGGGAAATGCTTCTCTTCCCCAGCTATATTGAAATCACTTTTGAGAATTCTCATGAGTGATTTCAATATAGAATTCTCAGAAGTGATTCTCAAAAGTAATTTCAATTTAGAAGTAATTTCTCATGGGGTTCAGCCTGGAAGGAGGGAGAGAAATGCTTCTCCTTCCTTTCCTTCTCGATTCTTGTTGGTCCTCTCTTCCTCCCTCCCTCCCTCCCTCCGTTCCTCCCTCCCATTCTCCCACCGGCAGTCTCACACCCAACTTCTCCTCCCAACGACAGCAGCACCACCACCGGCAGCAGCAGCAGCAGCAGCAGCAGCAGCAGCAGCAGCACCCCATCCCCTCTCCCAATAGCACACTTCTCCAACGTGACCTTTGGGGGCAACAGCGCCACGCTGGGCGGAGCAGCGCTGCATCTGGGCATGGCGGCGCGCGCTGCTCTCATGGGGTGCCGAATGGAGGGTGGGCTGGAGTGGAGACACTGCCATCTCTTCTCGTCTCCCTCCCTAGTTCTTGCTCTCACTCGCTCCTTCTCTGCCTTCCCACCCTCCCTCCCCCTTCCCCCCTCCCTCCCCCTTCCCCACCCCTCCCCTTCTCCCCTCTGGCAGTTTCCCACCCTACTTCTCCTCCCACCGACAGCAACACCACCACCACCGGCAGCAATGCCCCATCCCCTCTCCCAACAGCGCACTTCTCCAACGTGACCTTTGGGGGCAACAGCGCCACGCTGGGGGGAGCAGCGCTGCATCTGGGCATGGCGGCGCGCGCTGCACTCGTGGGGTGCCGCATGGAGGGCGGGCAGGCGAGCAACGGCGGCGGTGTGATGCTGGAGGAGTTTGCACAGCTGCAGATGGCACGCTCTGAGTGCACTGGGAACAGGTGAGGCGAGGCTGGGGGCTGTGCTTGACAGGTGGGTTGAATGAGGGGGGTACTGCATGGAGGGTGGCAGGCGAGTAATGGCGGTGGTGTGATGCTGGAGGAGTTTGCACAGCTGCAGATGGCACGATCTGAGTGCAGTGGGAACAGGTGAGGGGGGGATGAAGCAAGAATGAACATCAATATGAAACAGAGCAGCGATAGCAGAGAGGCTGCATTCATATCAGGGATCCGACAGCTGACTCATCATTTCTTTCCTTGCGCCTATTGCCCTCTCCCTTTTCCCAATTCTCCCTCTCCTCCATCTCTTCCCTCCTCTCCTCTTCCAGAGCCCCATCCGGGGGAGGGTGCATCTCCATGAGTGAGCTGGCCTCCGTCTATCAGAATTCCTCTCTCCCTATTCTTTTCCCTCTCTCCCTCCTCTTCTCCTCTTGCAGTGCGCCATCCGCCATCCGGGGGAGGGTGCATCTCTCCATGAGCGAGCTGGCCTCGGTTAATAAGTTCTGAATCGACACAAGTGCCTTCCCCTTACGCCCTCCCCCTTCCGCTCTCCCCTTTTCCACTCCTCCTCTCCTCCTCACCTCTCCAGTGCCCCATCCGGGGGAGGGTGCATCCATGAGTGAGCTGACCTGCAGCTTAACACTTCAGACTTCTCTTCTCTCACTGCCCTTTTCCCCATCCCCTCTTCTCCCTCTCCTCCCTCTTCTCCCTCTCCTCCCTCTCCTCCCTCCTCTCCCCCTCCCCAGTGCGCCATCCGGCGGAGGGTGCATCTCCATGAGCGAGCTGGCCTCCGTTACAATCACATCCAGCAACGTCACGTCCAACCAGGGCGGCAACAAGGGCGGCGCCATCCAAGCCACGGGGCAGACCCGGCTGGTGATTGTTGATTCCCATTTCTTCAACAACTCAGCCATGGATGGCGGCATGCTCTGGGCCGAGATGGACTCCGTGCAGCCCTCCGTCCCTGCTAACCCTCTTGCCTTCCTTCGCTTCACTCCTTGGCACCCCCACCATCTAGGGCGGCGCCCTCTGCTGCATTCAGCACGCGCGCTGCACCTCTGGTTACCCTATTCCCACCCACCTCCCCTTCCGCTCCGTTCTTCCCGTGCCCATGCCCGTATGTATCCCCCACACCAGGTGCACATATCCTCGTCAGTCATCGCCCGCAACACAGCCACCATCCAGGGCGGAGTTCTCTACCTCATTCAGAACGCGCGCCTCTCGCCTAATTCCCCTCCTACCCCCTCTCGTACTCCAACCCCCCCAATCCTCCCCCGCCCCCCACACCAGGTGCACATATCTTCTTCAGTCATCGCGCGCAACACAGCCACCATCCAGGGCGGGGCCCTCTACCTCATTCAGAACGCGCGCCTCTCGCTGCTCGCCTCCTCCCTGCGCGCCAACACTGCGGCACGCGGCGGGGCCATCCTCGCCGAAGGGGGAGTCCGGCTGCTGGTCTCTGTGGGGGTGGGTAGCGGAGGGGAACTCTTTACAGCAGTCAGCGAGGGCGCCTCACCTCCAATTTTCCTGTTCTTCCCATGCCCGTATCCCCACACCAGGTGCACATATCTTCTTCGGTCATCGCCCGCAACACAGCCACCATCCAGGGCGGGGCTCTCTACCTCATTCAGAACGCGCGCCTCACGCTGCTCGCCTCCTCCCTGCGCGCCAACACTGCCGCACGCGGCGGGGCCATCCTCGCCGAAGGGGGAGTCCGGCTGCTGGTCGCCGGGGGAACCGTAGGCGGGTCAGGTAGCAAAACGCCCGGTGGTGCTGCAGTCTTTGAAGGGAACTCACAGCATGCGGTGGTGCTGCAGGGGCAGGCAGTGGGGTCTTTTTAGTGAGTAAGCGGCGTAGGTCGCGGCGAGAGTATGCTAGTGATGGCTAGTTGAGCCACGCGTAGGAAAGGGTTTGTAGCTGTGGGGTGGGCCCATGGGAAAAAAAAAAGAAAACTGAAGGGAGGGAGAGGTAAGGCCTAGGAACAAGTAGCTCTATACCATGTGAAAGTAGCAAATTGAACAAGTGATTAGATTAGAGGAACAACCTAGCATACATAGTTCGAAGGGAAGGTTGGAAGGGAAGGATGAAAGTGACCATAGGTTGGGTTGACCTCACTTGGGGAAGTGAGGGAACCATAGGTCAAGTGGGTTGGGTTGCCCACACTTTGTAGAAGTGAGGCAACCCTAGGCCCACTTGGCTTGGGGTAACCTCAATTGTGGGAAGTGAGGTACCCACAAGTCAAGAGGGTTGCATTTGGGGGCTCCACCACAATTGGGTGGATTGGCACCCCAAAGTGCAAGACTACACCCAAAGTTGGGTGTAGTCCCAACCCAACTGTACACCACAATTGGTGTACAGTCACATGTGTTGGCATGCTACACAATATATATTTTAACACAACCCCTTAGCATGCTAACACAAGAAGAGAACAACCCCTGAATCAAGGGGCGCCCGGGCGAGCAAGGCCAATGAGGCGGAGGAAGGCAGAGTGCGCGGGGCGAAGGAGGGCCTTAGTGAAGATGTCGGCCAAGTTGGCCTCGGTTGCAATCTTGCGAACGGCAATGAGGCCCTTCTGGACGAGCTCGCGAACGAAGAAGTAGCGGAGTTCGATGTGCTTGGAGCGGGCGTGATAGACGGGGTCCTGAGTGAGATGGATGGTGCTGGCGTTGTCGCACCAGAGAGTGGGGCACGTCTGGGGGGCGCCAAGCTCCGCAAGAAGGAAGCAGAGCCAGCGCGACTCCTGGGCGGCCATGGTGCCAGCGTAGAGCTCGGCTTCGCAGGTGGAGAGAGAGATGGCGGAGGAGCGGGTGGAGCGCCAGCTGATGAGGCCGCCGCCAAGGGTGAAGCCGTAGCCCTGGGAGGAGCGGCGGTCCGGCTGCGTGTCAGCCCATGAGGAGTCACTGAAGCCCGAGAGAAGGGGACGGGAAGGGCCGCCGAGGGTGAGGGCAAGGTCCCTGGTCCCGCGAAGGTAGCGGAGGACCCGCTTGGCAGCTTTCCAGTGCTCCTCAGAGTGACGACCGGTGCCGACAAAGCGAGCGAGCACGCTGATGGGGTAGGCGAGGTCGGGGCGGGTGCACATCATTGCGTACATCAAGGACCCAACGAGCTCGGCATAGGGGTGGGGGGAGGAGGTGGGGGAGGTGGGTGGAGCGAGTTGGTGACCGAAGGGGAGCGGGGTGGAAACAGGCTTGGCTTGCGCCATGTCGAACTTCTCCAAGACCTGGCCGATGTAATGGGACTGGGAGAGGGTGATTGTGCGAGCAGGGCGGTTGCGCGTGATGGTCATGCCGAGGTAGTGAGTGAGGGCGCCAAGGTCCTTGCACTTGAGCCGCTGCTGCAGGGACAGCTTCACCTGCTCCATGTCGGCCTTGGTGTCAGAGAGCAGGATCATGTCGTCGACATATACCAGAATGAAGAAGCGGCGGGGGGAGGAGCGGATGAAGAGGCTGGCGTCGGAGTGGGAAGCAGAGAAGCCGAGGGACCCCAAGGTGGCAGCCAGCTTCGCATGCCACTCACGCGGTGCCTGCTTCAAGCCGTAGACGGGGCGACGCAGCTGCCAGACAGTGTTCTCAGGAAAGGCTGCGTGGAACCCGGGGGGTCGCCGGAGGAAAATGCGCTCATGCAGGTCGCCCTGCAGGAACGCATTGGAGACGTCCATGGAGTCGATTTCCATGTCGTCACGTGCACCAATGTCCATGGCGGCGCGAAGGGTGGGTGGTTTGGCGGTGGGGGCGTAGGTGAACCAGTAGTCCTCAGCCCAAGTCTGCGTGAACCCCTTGGCGCAGTAGCGGGCCTTGTACACTGGTTCCTCGCCCGGCAGCTGCTTCACCCGAAAGACCCATTTGCCGTCAACGAGATTAGCGCCAGCAGGGAGGGGGACATCGACAAAGGAGTCGTTGCGAATGAAAGCCTCACACTCCAGGAAGATCGCTGCTATCCATTTATCCGCATCAGGGCAGGTGATGGCTTCCTGGAAGGTGGAGGGAGTGAAGATGGTGTGGGTAGTAGTGGCGCCAAGGACAGGAAAGCCCAGGAAGTCAAGGTAGAGGGCGGCAAGGAATGGAGTGTGCTCCCGAATGTTGAGGAACTCCTCATGGGAGTCCTCAAGGAGCTGAATGGAGGCAGGAGGAGGAGCCCCAAGGATTTTGTCCACCGAGCGGGTATGGATGTAAGGGAGGAGGAAGGGGGAGGAGCGGGAAGTGGCACGGCGCCGCTGCTGCTGCTGGTGCTGCTGCTGCTGATGCTGCTGCTGCTGCTGCTGTCCCGGCTGCTGCTGATGCGGCTGCCCCGGCTGCTGCTGCTGCTGCTGCTGCTCCGGCTGCTGCTGCTGCTGCTGCTGCCCCGGCTGCTGCTGCTGCTGCCCCTGCTGCCGTTGCTGGTGTTGCTCCCGCTGCTGCTGCTGCTGCTGGTGCTGCTGCTGCCCCTGCTGTTGCTGATCCGGCTGCTGCTGCTGCCCCTGCTGTTGCTGATCCGGCTGCTGGAAAGGAGGAGAATGAGAGGAGGAGGGAGAGGGGGGAGGGGGTGCAGCTGAGTGAGCGGGGGAGGCGGGTGCGGCAGGGTCGTAGACGTCGGCAGAGGAGGAAGGCGGGAGCGGGGTGGCGACAGGTGGGAGGAGAGGCGCTGGAGGGATAAGAGGCGGGAGGATGGTGTCGGTCCAAGCGAGGGGGCGAGTGGGAGGAGGGAGGGGGTCAGGAGGAGGGGTGGAGTAGTAGGGAGTGGACTCGTCGAAGACGACGTCAATGCTGCGGATGAGGCGATTGGTGGGAGGGTGGAGGAATAGGTAGCCTGGGGAATCACGATTGTGCCCAAGGTAGACGCACTCCAGAGCGCGAGGAGCGGTCGGCCGGTGGAATGAGGACGAACGCCTTGCAGCCCCAAACACGAAGGCCTGCGGCGTCAGGCTTGGCCTTGGACCAGAGTTCTGTGGGGGAGGAGGAGGGATGCTGAGGGTGGGAGCGGAGATTGAGGAGGAGGGCGGCATGAATGAGGGCATAGCTCCAGAGGGAGGGAGGGGTGGAGGCGTGAGCAATGAGGCAGTGCGCAATCTTGGTGATCTCACGGATGCGACTCTCAGCGATGCCGTTTTGCTGAGGGGAGTGGGGAAGGGTGGTGGTCTGCTGAATGCCGTATGTTTTGCAGTAAGTGGAGAGAGTATGATTGATGAACTCACCCCCACCGTCAGAGTGAAGGCGGCCTATGGGACGTTTGAAGTGGTTGCGGCACTGCTCAGCCCAGTTGATGACCACAGCCGGCACCTGGTCTTTCGTGTGAAGAAAGAAGACGGTGGAGTACCGACTGTGGTCGTCGACGAGCACGAGCATGTACCTGTGCCCCTGACGGGAGCGGATGGGATAAGGGCCCCAGAGATCCATGTGAACAAGGTCAATGGGGGCGGGAGCGAAGGTGGGATGACTGTGATGGGGGGACTGTTTGAGCTTGCCATGAATGCATGATGGGCATGGGGGAGCAGGGGAGGAGGGGAGGGGAGGTAAGGTGGGAGGAAGGCTGTTAAGGAGGCGAGAGGTGACGGTGGAGCGAATTGCGGCGAAGTTGGGATGGCCGAGTCTGTGATGTAGGAGCACTGCAGGATGGGAGAGGGCAGTAGAGGAGGAGGGGGATGGGGTGGGGGAAAAATTGGGGGGGGAGGAGGAGGCGGATGGAGTAGAGGAGGAGGATATCGGAGGAGGGGGAGGGGGAGGGTGAGGGGGAGGGAGAAGGGGACCGGTGGAAGTACCAGCACGAGTGGTGACGTGACAAAAGGAGGGACGGGGTGTGCGGAGCGTGTAAAGGCGAGTGCGAGGGCAAAGGGGAATGCGCAGGAGGAAACGACCAGAGGCGGTGTGGTAGAGATCGCAGTAGGAAGCAAAGCCAGGGTATATGGCGGTAATGCCAACGCCTTGGAGTTCACGGTGGGAGAGGAGGTTATTGCGAAGGGTAGGGATGTGGAGACCGGTGACTGTACCGGATGGGAAGGCGGTGCAAGGAAGGGTGGAGAGGTGAGTGCAGGGGATGGAAAAGCTGGAGTCGGCACCATGAACCTGGGTGGGAAGTGGAAGGGGGGTGAGGGTGCCAGCGTCTTTTAGTGCGGTTTCGGTGGCCCCACTGTCAAGGACAAAGTCCAGGGTGGGGGGGGAAGGAGAGGGAGGGAACACAGAGTACTGGAGAGTTGTTTCATGGATAGAAGAGGGAGAGAGCGGCGGGTGCTGCTGCTGTAAGTACTGTTGCTGCTGCGGCTGCTGCGGTGGGAGAGACTGTGACGGTTGCGGCTGGAGAGATTGGGCTGCTGCTGCTGCTGGAAGCACCGCCGATGCTGCCGCGGTTGCTGCGGCTGGAGAGATTGTGGTGGCTGCTGCTGCTGGAAGCACTGCTGCTGCTGCGGATGGAGAGAACTGTGGCTGGTGCTGCTGCTGGAAGCACTGCTGCTGCTGCGGCTGAAGAAACTGTGGCTGCCGCTGCTGCTGGAAGGACTGCTGCTGCTGCGGCGGAAGGAACTGTGGCAGCTGCTGCTGCTGGAAGCACTGCTGCTGCTGCGGCTGAAGAGACTGTGGCTGCTGCTGCTGCAGGAAGGACTGCTGCTGCTGCTGCGGTGGAAGGAACTGTGGCAGCTGCTGCTGCTGGAAGGACTGCCGCTGCTGCGGCTGGAAGGACTGCTGCTGCTGGGGATGGAGAAACTGTGGCGGGTGAGGCTGGAGAGATTGCGGCTGCTGTTGGTGTTGGAAGAACTGCTGCTGCTGCGATTGCCGCGGCTGGAGGAGATGTGGGGGGTGCGGCTGGAGAAATTGTGGTTGCTGCCGCTGCTGGAAGTCCTGCTGCTGCTGATGCTGGAGCTGCTGGAAACGCCGCAGATGGGGAGGGGGGGAGGGGGTGAGCAGGCGGAGATAAGGGGGGGGGGAGGAGTGGAGGGTCGGAGTGTTGAGAAGGGAGGGGCGAGGAGTAACACTGCTCCAGTGAGGAGGGGGGAGAGGGGCAGGGGGGGTAGCAGTCATGATGGGCGACGGCGGGTGGACCCGCGGCGGCCAAGGGTGAAGTTGCTGCTGCGGAGGCTGCTGCACTTCCCCTGCTGCCGCTGCTGCTGCCGCTGGCAGGAGGAGGGAGGGGGGGGGGGGGGGGGGGGGGGGTAAAGGAGGGAGACAGCGGTGGAGGGCAGAGGCGTTCAAGGTGCAGGGAGCGACGGTGACAAGGGCGCAAGCGGCTGTGCGAACGTGCGGCGGCGGGAAGGGGAGGCGGTGGCAAAGTCGGGGGCGGCGGCGGCGAGCAGGCCGCGACGACGAGGGGCGCAGGCGACGGCGGAAGGGCCGCGGCGGCGAAACGAGGGACGGCGGCGGAAGCGCAACTCCATGCGGGAAACAGGCCGACAAAGCGCAACTCCATGTGGGAAACAGGCCGACAAAGCGCAACTCCATGTGGGAAACAGGCCGACAAAGCGCAACTCCATGTGGGAAACAGGCCGACAAAGCGCAACTCCATGCGGGAAACAGGCCAGGCCGACAAAGCGCAACTCCATGCGGGAAACAGGCCAGGCCGACAAAGCGCAACTCCATGCGGGAAACAGGCCAGGCCGACAAAGCGCAACTCCATGCGGGAAACAGGCCAGGCCGACAAAGCGCAACTCCATGCGGGAAACAGGCCAGGCCGACAAAGCGCAACTCCATGCGGGAAACAGGCCGACAAAGCGCAACTCCATGCGGGAAACAGGCCGACAAAGCGCAACTCCATGCGGGAAACAGGCCGACAAAGCGCAACTCCATGCGGGAAACAGGCCGACAAAGCGCAACTCCATGCGGGAAACAGGCCGACAAAGCGCAACTCCATGCGGGAAACAGGCCGACAAAGCGCAACTCCATGCGGGAAACAGGCCGACAAAGCGCAACTCCATGCGGGAAACAGGCCGACAAAGCGCAACTCCATGCGGGAAACAGGCCGACAAAGCGCAACTCCATGCGGGAAACAGGCCGACAAAGCGCAACTCCATGCGGGAAACAGGCCGACAAAGCGCAACTCCATGCGGGAAACAGGCCGACAAAGCGCAACTCCATGCGGGAAACAGGCCGACAAAGCGCAACTCCATGCGGGAAACAGGCCGACAAAGCGCAACTCCATGCGGGAAACAGGCCGACAAAGCGCAACTCCATGCGGGAAACAGGCCGACAAAGCGCAACTCCATGCGGGAAACAGGCCGACAAAGCGCAACTCCATGCGGGAAACAGGCCGACAAAGCGCAACTCCATGCGGGAAACAGGCCGACAAAGCGCAACTCCATGCGGGAAACAGGCCGACAAAGCGCAACTCCATGCGGGAAACAGGCCGACAAAGCGCAACTCCATGCGGGAAACAGGCCGACAAAGCGCAACTCCATGCGGGAAACAGGCCGACAAAGCGCAACTCCATGCGGGAAACAGGCCGACAAAGCGCAACTCCATGCGGGAAACAGGCCGACAAAGCGCAACTCCATGCGGGAAACAGGCCGACCAAGCGCAACTCCATGCGGGAAACAGGCCGACAAAGCGCAACTCCATGCGCCTCCATGGGGGAAACAGGCCGGGCCGACGAAGCGCAAGTCCATGTGGGAAACGGGCCGACGAAGCGCAAGTCCATGTGGGAAACGGGCCGACGAAGCGCAAGTCCATGTGGGAAACGGGCCGACGAAGCGCAAGTCCGTGTGGGAAACGGGCCGACGAAGCGCAAGTCCATGTGGGAAACGGGCCGACGAAGCGCAAGTCCATGTGGGAAACGGGCCGACGAAGCGCAACTCCATGTGGGAAACGGCGCCTGGCATCCCTATCAGTGGACGACCTCGTGCATCCCTCCGACCCTTCCCCCTCCCCCCTTCCCCTTCTCGTCCTCCCTGCTTTTCGTCCCCCCCAACAGGTACATAACCCGCTGCAACTGCAGGGAGCTCAACTCCATGTGGCAGACCGACAAGGCGCGGAAATCCCTTCAAGCCCCTCACAACTCTCCACTTCCCACCCTCCCCCTCCCCCTCCTCCCCTCCCCCCCCAACAGGTACATCACGCGTTGCAACTGTCGTGAGCTCAACAGCATGTGGCAGACCGACAAGGCCCGCAAGTCCCTGCGCTCGCGCAAGCACCTAGCAGCACTGTCAGTGGACGACCTGGTGCATCCCTCCGACATCGCCCGCTGGTTCCGCCCCCACGTGCTCTCCGCCTTCCTCTACCACTACTCCTCCTCCTCCCCAGCATTTCCCTCCCCGTTTTCACTGGCTTTCCCCCTTCCCTTTCCCCTTCCCCCCAACACCAGGTACATCACGCGGTGCAACTGCCGCGAGCTTAACTCCATGTGGCAAACGGACAAGGCGCGGAAATCCCTACGCTCGCGCAAGCACCTGGCAGCCCTCTCAGTAGACGACCTGGTGCATCCCTCCGACATCGCCCGCTGGTTCCGCCCCCACGTGCTCTCCGCCTTCCTCCACCACTACTCCTCCTCCTCCCCGGCCTACCACACCGCACGCCGCAAAACCCTCTCCGACGAGGCAGGCTCAGAAACCGGCGCTGCTGGTGCTGCTGGTGGTGCTGCTGCTGGGGAGTTTCAACATGTGGGTACGGCGGAGATGCGGCGGCGGCGGCGGCTGCTGCTGCGGCTGCGGGACCGGTTCGAGCGGATCCGGCTGGCAGGGCCAGGGGATGCGCAGTGGATGAAGCACTTAAGTAAGAGCCAGATGTACGGGGTGCTGTCTCAGGCGCTGCTGGGAGCAGCGGTGGGAGAGGTGACTGTTGCACGGATGCCTGTGAGTAGTGGAAGCGAGGGGCTGCTGGAAGGGGGTTCTGCTGCTGCTAGTGCCACCGCTGGTGCTGCCGCTGCTGGTGCTGGTGCTGCCGATGCTGCCGATGGTGGTGTTGGCAGCGCTGGTAATGCTGCTGGTGCTGCGGGTGGTGGTATTGCTGGTGGGTACTGCCATAATAGCCCCTGGGGGGGACCTACTTCTGCTGCTGGAGGGCCTGCTTTCAGTGGCAGGCTGGTGGGGGATAGCAGCCGGCTTACTGGCACTTCCACTCCCACTAATAGGCTCAGCTCCTCCGAAGCTGGCTCTAGGAGGCTCGGCACCCCCGAGGCTGGTTCACGGAGGCTTGGGACTCCCGAGGCTGGCTCCAGGAGGCTCGGCACCCCCGAGACTGGCTCGCGGGGGCTCACCACTCCCGAAGCTGGCTCGAGGGCCGTTTCGAGGAGGCTCGGCACGCCGGAGCTAGGTTCGGTGAGAAGAGTGACGGCTTCAAGCTCAGCCGAAGGGGGAGAGGCACGGTTGGTAGACTTAGGCGCGGCAGCAGAAAGAGCAGCAGCAGCAGGAGGAGGAGGAGGGGGAGCATCACCGATGCCAGCGTTTTTGTCTGCATCAGGGAGGTTGGATGTGACAGGGACGGGTGCAACTGGGGTGGGTACACCTGGGAGGGGCACACCTGGTGGAAGCACGCCTGGGGGAGGTACACCTGGGCGTGGCACACCTGGGGGAGGCACACCTGGGGGAGGCACACCTGGGCGCGGAGTGGCACGATTTGGGTCTCGCAGCCTATCAAGACGAGAACGGTGGGTGCAGCCTGAGGCCAGTAGAGGTGATGCGAATAGAGGTGACGTGTCTAGGGGTGATTCGTTTAGAGGTGATCCGTTTAAAGGTGATCCGGTTAGAGGTGTAGGGGAAGGAGCAGGGGGAGGGGGAGGAGCAGGAGGGGGAGGGGGAAGGGGAGGGGGAGGGGGAGTGGGTGAGGAAGGGATGGGGGGTTTGGGAGCGGTGGAAATGGGAGTGGGAGCGGTGGGATGGGATCCAGATGAGGAGGACGAGGAGAGAATGCTGCTGGAGTGGCCGCCCAGGCTGGACCACCACGTCAGCTGGACGGCAACTAATGCCGCGGGCGGCGAGATTGAGCGGCGGGGTTTGTCTGGTAGCGGAGGAGCGGATGTTCTGGTGAATGGGGAGGGGGAGGGGGAGGAAGAGGGGGAGGAACTGGAGAGGAATGGGTGGCGTGATGAGGAGGATGGGGAAGACGGGGAAGAGGGTGAGGATGAGGAGGAGTGTGATGGGGATGAGGAGGAGGACGGGGCAGATCTCGAGGAGAGAGCAGAGCAGCGGCGGCATCAGCAGAGAAACCAGGCCGGGCAAGGGGGACAGGGAGGAGGGGGGGGTTACGGAGGCGGGTACGGGGAGGGCCAGGGAGGCCAGGGCAGGGAGGGCGGGGAGGGAGGAGACGGAGGGTACGTGGAGGGGCAAGGCGGGCAAGGTGGAGAGGGGGGCTACGTGGAGGCGAGGATGAACATGGCGGAGCTCACGCTGCTCTTCCAGCGCCACCTCGCTCTCCTCGTGCGCTCCGAGGCCCTCCGCCGCCCCACCTCCCTCCGCCTCCTGTTGCGATCGGAAGCGATCCCGGATCTTCTAGCCTGGCTCACGTCGCCCCACTGGTAGGCTTGGGTGCTGTGGCTCGGGCTCCCCACTGATAGGCTCGTGTGTTGTGGCTTGGCTCCTCACACTTCCACATTTTCATTTGATAGAAAAGTAGCAAGGTGGAGGACCAGCAGGTGCAAAGGGACGTGGTGGCAATGATGCGGTCGGCTGTGCTTCTTACCTTCCCTCCACCCCTCCTCCACTCCTTCCCTTGTTTCTCCTCCCTCTCCCCAATGCAGCAAGGTGGAGGACCAGCAGGTGCAGAGGAACGTGGTGGTGGCAATGACGCGGTCTTCTGCAGTGGCATCTTGTTTCAACCCCTCCTGCTGCTCCCCCAACCCCCATCTCCCTCTCCCTCCTCCCTCTACCGGTGTCACTGCAGTGAGGCGGAGGATCAGCAGGTGGTGAGGGACGTGGTGGCACTGATGCGGTCGGCAGCGGTTCTTACCTTTCCTCCTCCCCTCCCACCTTCCACATGTGACACAGTGAGGCGGAGGATCAGCAGGTGCTGAGGGACGTGGTGGCACTGATGCGGTCGGCTGTGCTTCTCACCTTTCCTCCACCCCTCCACCCCTCCTCCCCTCCACCCCTCCACCCCTCCTCCCCTTCTTTCCCTCTATGCTCAACCAGTGAGGCGGAGGACCAGCAGGTGTTGAGGGATGTGGTGGCACTGATGCGGTTGGCAGCGGTGGCAGAGGTGGGCAGCAGATGATCAAACATCCCTTTATCCCGTCCGCTCCTTCTTCTCCTTCCCCCCCTCTACCTCTTGTAACTCCAGCGAGGCGGAGGACCAGCAGGTGCTGAGGGACGTGGTGGCAATGATGCGGTCGGCAGCGGTGGAAGAGGCAGGCAGGCAGCGGGTGATGGGACGTGCGTTTATCCCCTCCTCCGTTTCTTCCCTTCCCCCCCTCTCCCTGTGTGACACCAGTGAGGCGGAGGACCAGCAGGTGCTGAGGGATGTGGTGGCAATGATGCGGTCGGCAGCGGTGGAAGAGGCAGGCAGCCTGCACTGGCCCCGCGGCTTCTGGGCCTTCTTCCGCACTCACTCGGTGCTGCACCGCGCCAAGACCTGGTGAGTTGGGGCATGGTGAGGCAATCACTGGGAACCCAAGCCGTTGAGGTGTGTGAGTGTGTTAGCTCGTAGAGGCAGGCAGCTTGCACTGGTCCCCGGGATTCTGGGCATTTTTCCGCACTCACTCCGTGCTGCACCGTGCCAAGACATGGTGAGTCACGTCAAGTGATGGTGAGGTGAGTGCAGGGCATGGTGGGCCTGCCCTTAAGATCTCTGCCCTGTTTTGAGACGTCTCAAAACACTTCTTTTATCACTTGGTGAGTCAAACAATGGTGAGGTGAGTGCAGGGCATGGTGGGCCTGCCCTTAAGATTTCTGCTCTGCCTTTTCTTTGTCTTTCTATTGCCTTTCTCGACTCGTGCAGTGTGCAGCCTTGTCTGCCGTCAAAGCCGCTGCTGGAAGATGACATGTAATGTAACTGAACTGGGATGACATGTAACGGCTGCTGGAAGGGGGCATGTAACTGAACCGGGATGACATGTAATGTAACGGCTGCTGGAAGAGGGCATGTAAGTAACTGAGCTGGGATGACATCTGATTATCATAGGCCGAGGTCATTAACTGAATCCCTACGTTGGGAGATGAGATGACATGTAATATAATTAATATGGGATGACATTTGAGGAATCTTGGGAATGTCACATGTGCTGTAATCATTCAGATTCACCATGTATTATATTTGACACTTGGGAGGGTGCTGCCAGTGCTGATGCTTGTGTCAGAAGTCCACTTGTGATCCCCGATTGATCCTAGGGAAGGGTTACAGGCTCGTTGTCCTGGGGGGTTATGGGCGCACTGACCCGCTACTTAACAAGCCCTTTTATCCCAATGGTCTAGTGGCTGGGATTCTGACATGTTATCAGAGCGAAGGTCTCGGGTTCGAATCCCAGTGTGTCCACTTCGGGCATCCCGGTGCGGGGGGGTGTCAGAAGTCCACTGGTGATCCCCGATTGATCCTAGGGAAGGGTTACAGGCTCGTTGTCCTGGGGGGTTATGGGCGCACTGACCCGATACTTAACAAGCCCTTTTATCCCAATGGTCTAGTGGCTGGGATTCTGACAGCTTGGAGTGAATGGATGGATCTCAAGCTAAAGCCTATGCAGGTTCACGGAATTGGTATCGGAGCTGCTAAAATCGGAGGTTCGAAAAGGAGGCTGTGGGCGTATCTCTGGTTCCAGTCATGAGCACTGTTCATTCTACTGTTTGGGGCATCCGCAATTAGCGCGTGACCCAAAGTGGGGCTCCGAGGCGCGCGCGGTCCGAACTTCGGGTCATCCATCCCACTGCATGCGACCATCAGTCAAAATGTTCCCCCCACCAATCATAATGCACTGCGACCCCATGTTCAGTACCACCCTGTATACGACCGTCTTCAGTTGACTCACGCCCGTCAATGTCAAATGTGCACCTCCCAAACCTGTAAAAAAACCCCGGTTTTTACAGAGCCACAACACGACTCCACACAGTTTGAGCGCTACGCAAAATGTTCCCCGTATACTAGCACCCAGCGGCTCCACGCCAAGGCGCCCACATCAAACGCTCTCTCAGCAACTACGCGGCCCAGTAATGAACCGAATGCGAGCGCCCACGGCTCTTAATGCGTTAAGCGCGTCCTCTCGGCATTTACAGCGCGGCCATAAACCATGGTCAGCGCACATGTTCTCATCCTGTGTGTGGCCTTACACCTATGGCATGAGTACCTCCTCACCACCTGGCAGCGTGTAGTATCTCTAGCCGCATTGGAGTGGTTAACCAATATCCTCCCTATGGCTCAGGCAGAGGATGAGGAGCGCGGACGACGTGAAACCGCCCGCCGCGAAAGTCGGAAGCGCAAGCGCCAGGAACGGGTGGCCTATTGGGTCGAGGAGATACGCGCCATGTTTGACGAGGAGTTTGAAGACACTTTCCGCATCACGCGGGAAGTACTCGACCTCATCGCTGACAAAATGGCTCATCCAATGTCGCGCTTTGTGGAGGTGAACGAGGTCCCACTATCGCTCTGCTGTCTTATCCCGATCAAATACTTTGCCAGTGCCATGACCTAGCACGACATGGGCCTAATGTTTGGGCTGCCAAAGGGCCTCATCCACCGCCTTGTGGATGCCTTCTTGGTCTGGTTTCCCCGCAATTCAAGCGGGACTGGGTGCAGTTCCCTCCTAAAGAAGTGCGGGAGGAGATGGCGCTGGACTTCAAGGCCATCAAAGGAGTCCCCAACGTGATTGGCGCGATTGACGGTACACATGTTGAGATTCGCGGCATGGAGGCACACCGTGGGGACTACTACAACAGGAAGTCGGTATACAGTGTGCAACTTCAGGTCACGTGTGATTCAAAGGGAGTCATTTGGGACTACACGGTTGGCAATCCGGGCTCAATGCATGATCAAGGTCAGGCTAGAGAGTGGGGAAATCGCCCCCTATCAGCTGGTGGGTGACGCCGCATACCCATTGAAGTCCTACATGCTCACCCCCCTGCACGCACCACGCCGTCGCCTTATGAAGAAGTGGGAGCAGACGTACAACTACGTCCAGTCCGCGACCAGGATGGTCGTTGAGCGCACGATCGGCGCACTGAAGGGGCGCTGGAGGCTCTTCGCGCGCAGGCACGAGAGCAAGCTCTGGCGCGTGTGTGCAGGAACGGCCTGCATCATCATCCTGCACAACATGTTACAGACCGTCAGTACTCCAAGGATGAAGATGCACAACCCCCGACGCTACATATGGGCGGGTCTCCCGAACGGCTGGTGGACTAAGAGCGACATGGATCGTTACCACTGGCCGAGCCTAGACAACCCAACACGTGCCGATCTGCGCGCGCGCCGACACCACTTTGGCAAGCACATCCATCGGGCTTACCTCAGGCGTCACCGTCGGCCGAGCTCAACGCGCTAAGGCTCGGGCTGCTCCGCCACCTCCTCCGAGAACGCCATGTTGGCGTCGGTAGTGTCAACAGGTGGCGTGAGGTCCGGCGTCGTCTGAGGCGCAGCCTGTTGTGCGTGCGGTGTGGCCATCTGCAATCGCACGCCAGCCTGAAGGGCCGCCATATTCATGACGGCGACAAGCGTCTAAGTGGAGTCTTGAAGCTGGCGCACCACGTTCGCGTTGGTGGAGTTGATGGCATCGCTCACCAGCTTTGCTGCTGCCATAGTGGCGGTTTCGTTTACCCGCCTTCGTTTGGGTGGCGGAGTGTCACCAGCTTCTGTAGGGGAGGGTGTAGGCATAGTAGGTAATAAGGCGGCTTTGTTGCTATTTGATTGCATGTATTTGTCGAGAACCATAATGCAAGGGTGGTCAATTGCAGTGACTCACGGTAATACGTAGGCATTAGACCATGAACACTGCCTTTTAAGCCATGAACTAACCTGGCGTTCGGTTTGCCCGACGGCGATCGCGCTGGAGTCCCAGAGACGATGGGCCCGACGTCTCACGCTCGGTGGTGCCGAGCACCGGGGCGTAAGCAGGGACGTCCACGGTGGCGGCGCCTCCTCCGTCCATTGCGTGAGCCTTCGCCTTGGCCGAGTGCTTCTTGAGATTATACACGTACTCCCACCACGGCTTTTTCTTGATCGCTTTCCCGCCGCTCTGCCCTTCACAACGTTTCGTTTTTAGGTACTTTTTCTCCAGGCGTTTCCACGCGTTCGACATCTGCCCCTCATCGCGGTTCCACGAGGCGTCCCCTTCGACGATGTGTGCACGCTGTTTCATCCAGTACTGACTCCCTTGCTTAACCTGCATCGCTTTCAAATCGTCCTTTGTGTTCCAGCGTGCGGCCGCGAGGGTGGCCAGCTCGGCGTCCGACCACTGCCGCTTATTGCGCGGTGCAGGCGGGCGCTTCTCCTTCTTCGACGCGCGTGTGTTGCGGTCGTCGCCGCTTGCCTCTTCGCCGCCGTCCTCATCCTGGCCGTCGTCGTCGCTCCCATCCTTGTAGTTGTCGGAATCGGCTTCGCTGCCTGATTCCGAGACGATCTCTTCGAGATCGTCGTCGCTGACGTCAGTGTCGGCGCCATCGTCGTAGTCACGCCGTGCGCCCCCGCTAGTGGATGCGCCGGCGGAGTCACGCTTGGCCTTTGCCATACGCTTGATTGAAGGGGACGGCTTCCCCTGCTTCTTCTGCTCTTTCATCCATGCGACATACGGTGGGTCCTCCATAGGCTCATCGTCGCTAACTCTATCTTTCCCCTTGCCGCGCGTGCTCCGGCGTGGGGGCATTGCTCTACTATGACGCGAGCTGGGGATAGGTTGCGGGGGAGTAGAGACAGTTCTGGTGGGCTTGTTTGAAGTTCTGGATGCGATCTACGCTTTGTGGAGTAACCCCAAGGCCGCGTCACCAAAGAGGTGCTTCATTGTAGCCAAGGTTGGTGGTTGGGTGGCGTTGTGGAACCGCGCAGATCTGAATGTGACTTTTCCCGCCGGGAATTTTGACGGTGTGGTGGGTGGGTTGAGTGTCGCGTGGGCCGGTAGGAGTGTTTCGTGTGTGGTGGTTTGGCCCGGCTCGATTGGGTGCGACGGTTGACGGGAGTCGATTTCTGGGCGGGGAAACGTGCGCGCCAGTTTACGGGTCGCTCACGCACGAAGGCCCCGAAGTGGTGTTGTGTGCAGTTTGGGTCATCCGCAATTCGCGCATGCCCGGAACAGTGCTCATGACCCGAACCTGGATACGCCCTGTGTATAAAGTTTTCGGAGGGGGGGAAAGTGTATGTATTCCAGCAGAAGTGCTGGCAGAAAGTTTCTACAAGAATCGCACACCTTTGCCTGTCTGAAGCTGGAAGCAAAAAATGGAAAACGTGTTCAGCAGGACTCGAACCTGCGCGGGCAGAACCCAACAGATTTCTAGTCTGTCCCGTTAACCACTCCGGCATGTGAGCCGTGTTTAGTTTACGCAATAGAATCATTAAACAACACAGGGCTTCATGTAAGACGCGCTCCCTCCTTGCATGGCGGCTCAAACGTCCTTAGCGGATCTTACGGCAGACTGCTTCGCGCACTGCTGCCGATGGCTCTCTCCCCGCGAACTCGTCAATCTCTCCTTTTGCTGCTCGTCGCTTCGCCAACTGGCCAATAGCGATGCACCGTGGGCATGCCACGTGGCACATCAGGGAGCGCTACCCCGCCAGGTTCGCATATAACTCGTGTACCCAGCACGTCAAGTCTCTCATAGTTTTTGAAAAATTATAAGGTTCCGGAAGTAAGTTTTTGAGGCGAAGTCCCTTTACGTTCTCCTCCTTTCCCTTCCCCTCCCACTCCCCTTCACCTTCCCCCTCCTTTCTCTTCCCCGTTCCCCCTCCCCTTCTCCTTCCTCTCCCCCCTCCCCTTCCCCCTTTCCTTTCCCCCACTCCATGCCCCGTGTTTCCATGCTCCAGGCCGCGCTCCTCTCGGGATTTCGTCAGGCCTTCATAGAGCGCCACGTGGCAGCACGGAAGCTGCAGATTGCCGACCCTGCCACGTGCGCATGGCCCCTGTCTGGAGGCGCAGGGGGAGCCGCAGCAGCAGCAGGGGGCGGAGGAGAGGGGGAGGGGGGAGGTGAAGGCGCGGCAGCAGCAGCATGGGGATGGGGTGGGCCAGGGGGAAGGGGAGGGGGGGTTGGAAGGGGGAGAGGTGGGGGGCAGGATGGCGGGGGGGAAGGGGAAGCGCACAAGCCTGTGAGCGCAGTGATGGTGCTGGTGGAGGGGGGCGGAGGCCTTTCCGCCATCCCCGCTTTATCCTCCCACTCGGTACCTGGGGCTGGGGAGCATGATGAGTGGGATGAGGAGGGAGGCGAGGAAGGGGAGGGGAGGAGGAAGGAGGGGATGGAAAGAAGGCATCACGTGGTGGCAGTGCAGGTATGCTCCTTGGCTCTGTACTTATCGCGTCGTTGTTCCTTTATCCTTTTTTTTATGTCGTGTTTGCCAAAGTATTGTTCTGGTGTTTATCTCCGGTATCGCCCAAGTTTGCCCAAGTATCGCCCTAGCTATCGCCCTGAGAGCGCAGCTATCGCTCCCCCGGCTGTCAGCAGTGTTCCCACCCAGGTCACAAGGGGCGTATCACAGCGCTGCTCCCGGTGGACCTCTCGCCCTTCCCTCCTCCTTAGTCCCATGACCCCTGCACCCACCTACTCACTGCTCCTGTATGCAGGGCTCCAACATTCTCCTGTGGGGAGCAGCAGCAGCAGCAGCAAGACTGCAGCTGTCAGCAGTGCTCACAGCGCACAAGGGCCGCATCACAGCGCTGCTCCCGGTGGACCTCTCGCCCTTCCCTGCCGCTGCCCGCCTCACGACCCTAACACCTACCTGCCCCCTCCCGTGCGTGCTGTGCAGGGCTCCAACATTCTCCTGTGGGGAGCAGCAGCACCAGCAAGAGTGCAGCTATCAGCGGTGCTCACAGCGCACAAAGGCCGCATCACGGCGCTCCTCCCAGTGGACCTCTCGCCCTTCCCCGCCGCTGCCCGCCTCGCCCCGCCCCTCATGACACCCCACCCACCTCCCCTGCGTGCCCTGCAGGGCTCCAACGTTCTCCTGTGGCAAGCAGCAGCAGCAGCATCAGGACGGGTGCAGCTATCAGCAGTGCTCACAGCGCACAAGGGCCGCATCACAGCGCTGCTCCCCCGGTGGACCTCTCGCCCTTCCCTGCCGCTGCCCGCCTCACGACCCCAGCACCTTACCCCCTCAATGCTGCTGTGCGCCGAGTCCCACCCACCCACTGCTTTTGCGTGCAGGGCTCCAACATTCTCCTGTGGAGGACTCGGCGACGGCGCACAGCAGCATTGAGCAGAGTACTCGTGCCAGCGCCCCAGCTGGCGCACAAGGGGCGAATCACAGCGCTGCTCCCAGTGGACCTCTCGCCCTCTCCCCCTCCACTCATTACCCTTGAGCCCACCTCCCTTGCATGCAGGGTTCCAACATTCTCCTATGGGGAGCAGGGGCATCAGGGAGAGTGCAGGTGTCAGCAGCAGTGCTCACGGCGCACAAGGGGCGTATCACGGCGCTGCTCCCGGTGGACCTCTCGCCCTTCCCTGCCGCTGCCCGCCTCACGACCCTAGCACCCACCAACTCCCTCCCTTGCGTGCAGGGCTCCAACGTTCTCCTGTGGCGGGCGGCAGCATCAGGACGGGTGCAGCCGTCAGCGGTGCTCACGGCGCATAAGGGGCGAATCACCGCACTGCTCCCGGTGGACCTCTCGCCCTTCCCTGCCGCTGCCCGCCTCGCCCCGCCCCTCCCCGCCCACACCTTCCTCCTCTCTGCCAGCCTGACCGCACGCTGCGCCTCTGGGGTAAGGTGAGAGATACTTGCGAGGTGAGGGGCAGGGTGAGATGGGGCAAGGTGAGAGACATGGTCCGTTCCGGTAAGGTAAGATGAGAGGATGGTTCCATCCTGTCTCTCGTTCTGCCTCACCCCTCGCCCCTCATCTCGCCCCTCCCCTACCCGCCCACACCTTCCTCCTGTTCGCCAGCCTGGACCGCACGCTGCGCCTCTGGGGCAAGGTGAGAGACAAGGGTGAGCTGGTTTCATCCTGTCTCTGGTGTTGTCTCACCCCTCGCCTCTCACCCCTCGCCCCTCATCCCTCCCCTCCCCTCCCCTCCGCGCCCACACCTTCCTCCTCTCCGCCAGCATGGATCGCACTCTGCGCCTCTGGGGCCAGGTGAGAGATACTTGCGAGGTGAGAGGCAAGGTGAAGGGCAAGGTGAGTTGGTTCCATCCTGCCTCTTGTCTTGCCTCGCCCCTCGCCCCTCGCCCCTCATCTCGTCCCACCCCTCCCCGCCCACACCTTCCTCCTCTCCGCCAGCCTGGATCGCACTCTGCACCTCTGGGGCAAAGGTGAGACTGACAAGGTAAGGTAAGATGAGAGGATGGTTCCATCCTGTCTCTGGTTCTGCCTCGCCCCTCGCCCCTCCCCGCCCACATCTTCCTCCTCTCCACCTGCCTGGACCGCACGCTGCGCCTCTGGGGCAAGGTGAGAGATACTTGCGAGGTGAAAGGCAAGGTGAGTTGGTTCCATCCTATCTCTTGTTTTGCCTCGCCTCTCACCTCTCACCCCCCTTTCTCCCCGCCCACTCCTTCCTCCTCTCCACCAGACTGGACCGCACTCTCCCCTCCCCACCTTTCTCCACGCCCGCTCCTCTCTCCTCACTCCTTCTCTCTGCCCTCTGTTACCCCCACCCAGGCCACCTGCCTTCGCACCTTCTAAGGTCACAGGGGTCCCATCCTCTGCCTCTCTCCCTTCTCAGGTCACACGGGCCCATTGTCTCCCTTCCACCGCCCTCTCTCTCTCCTCCCTATCTTCCCTCTGCTGCCCTCTCTGCCCTCTCTGCCCTCTCTGCCCTCTCTGCCCTCTCTGCCCTCTGCTACCCCACCCAGACCACCTGTCTGCGCTCCTTCTCAGGTCACACAGGCCGCATCCTCTGCCTCTCAGACCGCGTAATCGGCACCTCACACCCATTCTTCTTCCCAAGTCTCTTGCTTCTCTCCCCCTCTCTGCCCTCTGCTGCCCCACCCAGACCACCTGTCTGCGCGCCTTCTTAGGGCACACGGGTCCCATCCTCTGCCTCTCAGACCGCATCATAGGAAGCTGAACTGAGACTTCGAGACCTACTTTCTCCTCCTCTTCTTCTTCTTCTTCTTCTTCTTCCTCCTCTTCCTCTTTCCTCCCTTGCATCGCCACCGGCAGCAGCGACAGCACCGTTCGCATCTGGTCCCTCCTCCCCTCAGGTACGCTTCTTCAATATCGATTTTTTAGGCGCCTCTAAAATCCTCCCGTCAGGTATGCTTCTTCAATATCGCCCCCCTTCTTTTCCCTTTTTGAGGCGCCAAAAACATATACCTCTTCAACATCACCCCCGCTCTCCTCTCTTTAATGGAACATATTAGTATTTCCTTTTTTCTTCCATTTCTTCCCCTCTTTGCAACCATCCTCCTCTTCCCTCCGTCACCTCACTGCCAGCCTACCTCATCCCTGCTTGTACCCTCCTTTCTACTTCCCCTGCTTCCCTTGTCACAATTCCCCCTCCCCCACCTTGCAGGGAAAGGGCGGTCATCATGTGTTGCCACACTGAAGGGCCATGAGGGGCCGATCGCTGCTCTGACTGTTGCCACGTGGGTGACTTGTCCCTTGCATTGCACAAGCTTGCATACAGCGCATCAGTATTTTTCTCTTTCCATCTGCCCTTCCCTCGTCTC